ATGTAGCAAGCATCTTGATGCAAACAAGATTGCGCGACGTCGGGACCGGGGCGACGGCGTTTGCCTTGTGGCTTGGAATCCGAGTTAGGCGACCAGCTGCGCGTCCCCAATCGGCTCCAGCCGGTATGATAATGCAAAGTCAAGCCATCAGTGGCCCGGTGTCACAGTTTAGGAGATGTTGAGAGCGAGACTCACCGTCAGGCCGTCAGGCGATGTCCAGTGGCATTTCCTGCAAGCACAATACTTCTTCCTTGGCTTGTCGTGCAGAGTTGGGAGTTTGCCGCTGCCATTTCTGGCCCGTTGCTGCTGCTGCTGCTGCACCCTGCTGGGCTCCACGAGCGGCGATCGCTGCTTGGAACCCTGCTGGACTCCGCACTTCACGTGCGTTGGTAGTCTGAACGCCTTGCTGGGCTAGTGGCTACACTGCCGTAATGGCATTCAAACTTTTTCCATCTGATCCGAAGCCGAAGAGCTTCTTTTTGGGTGTCTTGGCCGGGTGCACCCGAGACGCTCTGCCAGCTTGAACTCCAAGCGGAGGGGCAATGACGTTTACGGAGCCCCTGAGATGCCGGAGGGCGTCGAAACGAACCATTTTCTTGGATTGGGCGCGGCAATACACATCTCTTTTCTTGGATTTTAAGGTTTAGGTTTAGGGTTTTTTGAACCGACATTTATTATTGGGGTTGTGTTTTGCGATTTCACCATCAAGTTAAAAGTTTCTCAGCCAGCAGCTGGATTAGGGTTCTGGGTTTCGCAACCAATGTCTTTTTTTGGTTTCGGCAACATCTCGTTTTAGGGTTTTGGGTCCGTCCGCCAGCATTTATTTAGGGTTTATGGCTTCTTGCGGTTTACGGCCTTTTGCGGTGTTGGATGTCTGAGCCACATTTTTCTTTAAGATCTGGAAGTTCTCAGCCAACACCGCGTCGGGCGGTTAGGGTTTAAGGCTTAGGGTTTGCCGGCTTTGGTTTTTCAAGCGAAACTTTCTTGTTGGGTTTTGGGTTTTTGCAACGTAACCACCATCTCCTTTTAGGGCTTGGGGTTTCTCAACCAACATGACATGTTTTTTGTGGGGTGCATGGTTCTCAGCAAACATTTCGTTTCAGGGTTTAGGGTTTGGCACCACGTAGCTTGGGTTCTTGTAGGTACGACAACCAACAGTAGCAGCAGTAGCAGTCGTCGTCATGGTATGTGTGGTAACAATGGCAATAGTAGCAGTACAGTAGTTGTGGCAGCAGCAGAAGCCGTAGTAGCACCAAAACTCGTAGCACCAGCAGCAGCTGGTAGTTGTAGTTGTAGTAGTAGTCGTGGTGGTAGTAGTGCGAGCAGTAGTTGTAGTAGTAGTAGTAGTAGTAGTAGTAGTAGTAGTAGTAATAGTAGTAGTAGTAGTAGTAGTAGTAGTAGTATGTAGTAGTAGTAGTAGTAGTAGTAGTAGTAGTAGCAGTTGATGTAGTAGATACAGCAACTACTACTACTACTACTACTACTACTACTACTACTACTACTACTACTACTACTACTACTCAGCATTCATGAAGAAGTAGATGGGAAAAAAGGCCCGGATGCTCGAACTGGAAACACATATGGAGTCACACGGAAGGTGCTCAGCTGCTGGGGACTTGCAGCACCCAACAAGAAATCCCAAAACTTTCAAAGCCTTTGGGTTCCTGTGCTGCAGGTCGTGTGGCAGCGTTCGGCACGATGGAAGAGGCAAGTTGGTGCTCTCCGAAAACCAGCAGCTAGCTGAGACATGTGGGTCGAGTCTTGTCAAGCGTCGAAACCTGAGACAAAGAGAAAGAGGCGTGTCACGAGGACTGCTCGTGGCCCATGCCCAAAGCAAAGCAGAAAGAGAGAGAGAGAGAGAGAGAGAGTGTGTGTGTTTGTGTGTGTCTGAGAGAGAGCGGAGGGCGGAAGACCAAAAGCATCCCAGGGCCAATTGCCCCTGCATGGACAGGCCAAATCCGCTTGCGAGATGATGGGCTCAGTGTGGCTTGGCAGCGCTTGGCGGATGTCTCTCACAGTGACACACAAAGGCTTCAAGTGTTTCAGTGCACCGCCGAGCGAGAACTGGCCAGATGCTCACATCGCACACCCAAGCGGCTGAACAGATGCTTTCGTCTAAGCTTGATTTTCGTTGGCTTAGACCCTAAGCCCTGAACTTAAACCCAACCTAGCGGCCCAGTGGCCCTGGCCCGCCGTCGAGCTGAGCTGCTCAGTGGATGTGTAAATCACCTTTGTAGGAAGCCGTCAGCCGCTGGCGTCCTTCTTCGGCCTTCGCTGAGGCTTTGCTTTGGCATCTACGACACCAAGTGCGACGGGGCCTCTGAGGAGTCTCCGGTCAAGCTGATCAAGGCGGGTTTCGGAGCTTCCTCACGCTCGCGAAAGGAATGAATAAACCAATCTCCCTCCTTCCCTCTTCCCGCGCTTATCCACTGTCTTTGTCTGTCTATCTTTGGCTCGCCTCCTTCCCCCGTCAAGCCGAGCATTATATCAAATCCATTGTCGTCTCCATTTCCATGGCCCTGCTGGCCGTTGGCCGTGCTCTCGGAGGCCCCTGGCTTGGATCTGGAATCCGTCAAGGCCGGCTCGGTGCACTGCGGGCACATGATCCCAGCTCCGAGTGTGTCTAACGAGGAGTCGAACATCGGCAGCTGCGTCCTTCGCATGAAGCTAGGCTGCTCGGACTGGACTCCAGATCCCAGCCTCGTCATCAAGTGCTTGCAGGCTCTCTCCGTCCATAGATAAGGTTTAATGCAGGACTGAAGGAGCCCCAAGACTGCAGTGTGTTTTCTCACGCAGCTTAGCAGAGCGCGTGCAGTGCACTTCGCGAGTCCTGGATACTGAAACAGTCTTGGCTGCGCTTTGTCGCTGTGCTGGCATCGTACCTGTAAACCCGCAACAGGTCTATGAGCAGCACGACCTGTGAGATGTAGGACCTTGGACTCGGACTGGGGGGGCTTTAGCTCAGGCTCCGAGACGACCGTGACAACCACCATCGCCCAGTTCTGCAGCTACGAGGTGAACGTCTCCCGCACCGACGTGGACCCCAGAGCCGAGAGAGCCGAGTTTAGGTTTCCTGCGCCCACGCCGACGGTTGTTCAGGACCCTTCTGCTGTCTGGAAGACCTACCACGTGGAGAAGCAGGAGTACGGTGAGGCCCGACGAATTCAGGACGCTTCTTGAACGAGCTTTTTTCATGTCCTGTCCTATAGTCGGCAACTGTAGGGCTCGTTGCCACTCACAGCTCCCGTCCCAGGTGTTCAGATTCAGCGGCTGCGCTCCCTGGCAGCAATCAAGCGCATAAGCCCTTCCATAACAACATGCAGTGAGCTGACGGCACGCCGGGATTGTGAATGCGGCGAAGATGTCAGCACGACCATTCGATGCAGTCGGCGGCTGTGCCCTACCCCGCGCAAGGCCAATGCTGAACTGGACGAAGCAGCTGAGTGCGTCGCCTCCGGCGTCTCCAACGGTGTGCGTGTGCTGAAGAACAGGTCAGCAGGGAGTCACGCACAGCTCACAAACACTCCCCAGCGTGATGCACACAGTATTGCCGAAGCAGCCGGTAACTCTGAACTCATCTCCGCAAGGCACGGCCAAGCTGTGGGAACTGGTGTTTGCTGCGCATCTGCCACCAACACGGCCAGCCCGGGAGGGGACTTCCCGGTCCTTGAACATACTGTTGCAGCTGCTGTGTTGGGCAATCGCTTCTCGATTTCTCTGTTGATTCCAGCCGGGAGTGCATACTATCTGCCCGGCATGAGTTTGATTGGACTGGTACATTTTCTGCTTGCTCGTGAAAGGGGGAATGCAGCGCCTGCAACCTTGAGAGTGTTGGAACCCTTACCAGGTGCTGACCACCACACCTATCCAGTGCGATGGATGCTAAGCTGCACAGAATTGCACCACCGGTGCGGAACCCCTTGGCTCTTGTGGCAGCATTGTGCTGTGGGGCTCGGTCTGTCTTCGACTTGTCCTGTGCCTGGAAGACAGGATTTGCGGACAACTACACGAAGTTTGAGAAGATGTATCTCCCGGCCTCTCAGCAGCAGGAATCCGGGAGCTCAGCAAGCAGCCCTAAAGTAGCTCAGGCAACGAAGCTGATCCGTGGTACGACTTATAGCAACATGGCCTCCGCGAGGGATTCTTGCCTGCATAAGTGGGAAGCGACTTGCACCCGAAGCGTGGCATCAGCCTGCTGCACAAATATTCAGGAAGCTTGCCTTCGCATGGGCCACAAGTGCTGGGGCATCTTCGATGACAAGTGCGACACAGTCAACGTGATGCTGGTGGATGGTTACATCGGAGTCACGGAGAGCCCCATGGCGTGAAGTGTTCGGAGGGCGTTACCAGGGGAATGGTTTTATGCGCAAGGCCTGAAGACTGTTTATATGGATTGACTACAGTTTGGAACTCTCTCTCTGTAGCTGCTTTGCATGGCTATCTCCTTGTGCTCACATGCCCGAGCGGTAAGGCACTTTCCGCAACTCTTCTCAGTCGTCCTGCATCTTCAAGAAGCAAGCAGTCTGAGCCAACGCGAATTCAGTGAAAAGCGTAACTGCGACAGAGAGGCTGTGCCCAATACCTGCTCACCTGCACCTCCAAACTGCAGACGTTAGCGAGCATTTCAGGGTATTTGGCTCAGTTCTGGCCAGCGGGCGAAATTAAGCGAGCTGCGAGGTTGACGTCGGAAAGCGTCCCTCGTCTCTCGCCATCGTAGCAAATCGTAGCACCTTGTCCAGCTTTTGCCTGGCAGACCAGAGAGCTGCCAGAGCCGTCTCGGCGACTCGGTTCGCAGCCAAAATCTTGCTCCGCCGAGCTTCAGGTGCAAAGCGACAGGAGCACAAGATGCCATGTCAGAGCGGCAGACCGTCCAAACCTCCCTTCCAGTGTCCAACGCCGACTCGTGATATTGTAGCACAGCTGGCAGACGGCAACAGCCAGCCCGGCTGTAGAGCCACGACCGTCTTCAAGTTATGAGGTGTGCTGCCGATGCTGCCGAGGCTTTGAGCGACGACACAGCGTCCGAGAAGATGGCTCGGGGCCACGGATGGCACCAGCATGGAAGTCTGCATGGAACGGATTTGCACTGCGCCTGGCGGAGTCAAACTTCTCCAGAGGACAACAACGTAATCCACACTACAGCACTGTTCCGTAGGGATGGTGGCATTTTGTGCTCGCCACAGTGTCAGGCCCAGACCGATGGGTGAGCCAGGAGGTCGCCGGGGTTCCATTTGCAGCCTCGTCCGGAACGCAGCATCCAAGGCACAGGCTGCTTGTTTTTTCTAGAGAGTGAAGGGATGATCGCGAGAGAGACAGGGTTCCTGTGTTCCGCCTGTGATCCGACCTGCAGTCCAGCAGAGTCCAGCAGACTGCAAAGTCGGTTGTGGGTTTAGGTCCAGCCCGACCTACGACTCCAGCCTCATGGCGATGGCCGTCGGGGTGGCTTCGACGCAGTAGTCCGAGTACAAGCAAGCGGACGAGCCGTGTTACAGGTTTGGATGAGGTACGCTTCGTAGTCGTTCGGCAGGGCGTGACCAGAATAAGTGTCATGATCTGAATGGTATACTATGCTTCCAATCTGATGTGATCTGGATGGTAGGGCTGAAGGCTTTCGGCAGGGAAACATGCCAGATTCGGATTCGCTCCCGAACTACAACCTACGATCTACTTGTAGGGTACCCAGAACACTGCCATCTTCAGAGACGCTACGCTCAGCGGGCAGTGCAGATGACGTTGACCGGAGTCTTGGATGATCTTGGCATCTAGGTGCCTGCACAGATTAATGCCAGCATCTAAGAAGCACTCAAAACATCATTTCCAGCATCGTGAGCTTGTCCAGCCTGCTGGGCTGCTCGACCGTCGGTGGAGTCATTACCCTGTTAGTGTCAGGTTTTTCCTTTCTGGACTGGAATGAACCCCTGCTCACGAATGTTGGCGAGCATCATGAGCATCAGGAACCCCCCCCAGTTTTATAGCATCATGAGCATCATCTAACCTTGTCGCATTGCCACTGTCTGATCTGATGAACGGAGAGATTCATTGAGACAACACGGTGCAGTCGAGAGGGTTTGCGTGATTGCTTGCGGTTGGACGGTGGATTACGCTGCCATGCCGGTTGACATGAATCTCCTTGTTCAGTTGCCAGCAGTACTTTTTCAGCCTCCCTGCGAACGAGATTGACAAGATAGCTGCACGTCACGAGTTGTCTGGTCAATGCCACTGGAATATTCGTGGTAGGAGCTCATGCTGCATGTTTGGACATCCGCCGCTACTTAGCGCAGACGTGAAGGCCCAGCTGTATCTTCTTGCATCTGCGCGGGCTCAGCCTGATAACTGCATCTTTGCAGTACGTGATATCGAAGAATCCAAGCCGCACACGGCATGTGTGGACGTGCGTGCGGTGTATGTGCGTGCGTGGGTGTGTGCGTGCCTGCGTGTGTGTGTGTGTGTGTGTGGGTGTTTGTGTGTGGGTGTTTGTGTGGGTGGGTTTGCGTGCGGGTGCGTGCCTGCGAGTGTTTTCGAAGTTGTCGAGCTGGTAGGCACAATTCGTCGTATTTGCGGCAGGTGTGGTTACTGAACTTTGCCATTTGTGTTTCGTCTCACACCTCCCTTGCACGTGTCTTTAGCATGCGTGTTTGTGCCTCGCAGAGCATGTTTTGGTTTGGGATAAGTTGGAGTGCTAAGGCAAAGGAGAATAGGATGAATCGACAGGCCTTCTAAGTTTACTATTTATCTCCGAGCACTCGAGGGTGCTTGCAGATGTGTCATGATGTGTCGTTCCGGGGGGACGTTTGTTTGTCCGGGAAGTTTGCCGACCTTCGACTATGGCGAACAGACCAGAAAACACGTCCAAGGCATTGCAAAGCAAAGAAGCAGACAAGGACGAGACAGGGCCGCGTGAATCGCATGTCGGCCTGTCGCACATGTTGTGAACATTCATCTCTCGACATGTATAGTGAACTTCAGTGGCTCATGCAAAGTTGGAGGTTGCAGAACATTCATTAACATGCTGTGTTCGGAGCTGCAGACCGTGAAGTGAGATGAGGTCTGTTCTTGACTGCCAGGACCGTCTCTTGTTTGCAGAGAGGACTGTGGGACTCTTCCAGGCCTTGTCCCCACCCAGGCGAGACAGCGGCTCTCTCCGCGATTGCAAGAGTAGTTGGTGGCTTGGGGTCTTCTGAGCCAGGGGCCCGGCCGGAGCGCTGGTCGAGGGTGGCTGCAGGCCGGCAGGTGGGTGTTGGGCCAAATAGCACGCGGGTGCTTGTCAGGGCCTTTGCAGACCATGCTCGATCTGCCTGGGATGAGCGCGGACCCCATCTTGGCCTTCGAGCCCTTCAACAAACTTTGAACACAAAAGACCCAGGTATCGGGCCGACGTGCAGCACTTTCAGAACACCGTCTACCGCCGGCGTGCAGGGGCCTTGTGGCTGCAACCGTTGACACAATGTGCTCTGTTTGCATGTCAGGGCCGCAAAGGCGACAAGGAGCGGCGGCGACCCATGGCCGGGCTCACGGTCGGTGATCTTCGGAGATGCACCCAGATCTTTCCTGGTGCATGGTGACAACGAAGGCTTTGCTTCTGCAACAAAGGCTTTTTTCGAGTTGCGTAGGTTGGACGGATGATGTGCGGATCAGTTTAAAATTGTTCAGAGCGTAACCTAGCTTGGATCCAAGAGCCAAGCATGCTGAGTCTGCCAACCACGCTGCTGTCTCTGCACGGTGCGGGCCCGACGACAGCAGCATCGGCGAACGGTGTCGGTCTAGGTTCTTTTTCAGTTCCAGTGTATAGCAAGTGCCAGACGCACGTTTTCCGAGTTTTCAGCAGACTGAAGTACCTGACTCGAAGTCCTTCTGCAGCTTGCATTCCCGTCGGAAGTCCAGCTATGCGTGGCATTTCGAAGGCTTTACAAGACGCCGGCAAGCCGGCCGCAGACGTTCTGATTCGGTCAGCATCCAATGAGACAGGGCTGAAGTTTTTGCTGGCATCGTTGAGTGTTACATTGTGTTTCCCTGTCTTGCACGCTGTAACTCCGCGGCAGAGCTGATTTCCGGTTCTGGAAATGCCAGAGGAAGTGTTGGCGAAGCGGCAACATAGCCGGGATGCGTTTCAAGCTGGAGAATCTCTCTTGTTAATGCCGTCGTGGTTTGTGGATCCAGACCAAGGGCAACTCCGGGCGGGTAAGACCAGCTCAATAACATGCGTGGCGTTGCCTGGCTCCACGAGACGTAGCTAGATAACCCAGTGCCGCTCTCTGAAACATTCAGGGACGCGAGTAGGTGGAGCATGCGACAAAGCTTTTCGCGTCTCTACATGGGCCTTCCGGCCGTCCAGACCATGCTGTCTGTCAAGCAGACGCTTCGGGGCAAGAAGCCTCTTCGTCGATAGCAAAGTCTACCAGAGTCGATGAGACATGCAAGCAAAACCTCGAACTCGAGCTCCAGGAGGTGCAGGCTGTTTTGTTCAAGAATTGTGCTTTCAGGCCATTGGCTCAAGTAAAGCCCGCAAGCTGGCCATGGGTACTTCTTGGAATCGAGGAAGCTTCTACAATCTACAAAGATTGCAAAGCTTTCATCAAGAAGTTCACAAGTTCCCCGCTGGAGGCAGACTTCGTGACCTCATGATGTGTAAGAGTGTAAGACGGCATTCGCCGCACGTTACCTCGACACCCAGTAACAGTAAGGACGTCATGTCAACCTGCCGAGACACGAGCAGCGCATCAGACACGGCCTATGTTCACCCTTCTTTTTGCACACATCTCGCTGTGCCATGTCGTCGGTGGGCCAAGCCAGAAGTTTTTGAGTTGTTGGTGTGTTCTGGGCCGGGAAGGCCAAGGGAGTGTCCCATCACCGAGGTTTCTACCTGAGCTGAGGGAAGATCACCGGAAGGTGGGCTTCGAAGTATTCATAGATTATGAAAGTCATCGCTTGTCGTCTAGCCTCAAGAGATTTGATGTTCGCATGTCGTTCTTCGTGCTTACAGCGGCCTCCTGCACGACTCTTTGGCGCTCCGAGCTTTACGCGGCGCATCCCCTGCATCCTGTACGCTTCGGCTAGCACTCGGGCGCAGACTCATCCATCCGTCATCTGCGAACCTGGCGAACCTACAGTCTTCCCATGATATAACGTACACCCCTCGAGCCCGTGTCAACTGTGAGGCCGCTGGTGCGGTGGGGACCTCGGCGCTGGAAAGCGACTTCTTTTGTTTAGACGCTTGTGGCCGCTTGAGAGGCTAGGCTATGCTAGGCTGTTAGGCTGCCGTTGCGGCTACGGAAGTTTTTCGTGAGGCTTGCAAAATTGATGTGGGGGTTCCGAGCCTGATGCTCGAACTCTGAGCCCAAGGCCCTGGGCGTCGCCACCTTGGCAGGTGTCGGGGGCCTCCTCTGGCGATGGAGGCTCGACGTGGGGAGTCTGGGAGAGGCTTCGCGGGAGAGGGAGAGTGCCTGTTGTTCGCTTGTCGAGGAGCCAGCGCGCGAGGACACTAAGCCGGCCCTTTGTTCTGAAGGACGGGCTACGCTGCAGAGCAGAGTCGTCTGGACGTCTTTGAGGGCTTCCGGAGCATGACTTGAGGACCTCACAGGTGGCGAGACTGTGGAGGCCGAGCAGCGCGCTGTTCAAAACATGTCGGTATGGTCTCCTTCCCGATCTTTGAGCGACAGTGAGCCTTTGGCATAAAGCCCTGTCAGGGCATGGCATGGCGCTGCATGTTGAGCTTATGTCCTTATAGTCGGCATTGTCTAATAAGCCATGCACGGCAGGAAGTACAGCTGCACACCTGGTCCAAGGCTCACCAATTTGACGACGGTGTTTAAGACTGTCCAGGATCCCCTCGCGGAGCTCACGCGAGTGGTCACCTGGCTACAGGCCTGCAGTGCCCGGTTGCAGTTCGAAGCGTGGAAGCGTCATGTCAGATGCCACATGTTGGGCCAGCCTGCTCTCAGGATGACATCATTCGGCCCCTGGATGCTCGCCTACCAGGCCCAGCATTCTCGACACCGTGCCACTCAAGGGATTCAGCCCCGCCAAAAGCCCAGCCCTTCGACGTTCGTGCCTGACTCGTCCATGTGCACAGGCAAGCCCTTCGAGCATGACCTGCTGGCATTCCCATTCACGCCGATGGTGCTGGTGGTGTGGCCCTCAAGCAGACGCCAGGAGATTGACATTCTAGCTCTCCAGCACATAGAGGGGTGTCATATCACAACAACACAACTCGTTAATGAAGTACTGTATAGTGCACAGAGACTTCGAAGCCGACTGTCAGCCGACTGCCACATCCAAGCAGATCTGTGACTGTCAGGTGGGGAACCATTCGGCTGGCAAGCTGGAAGCCGAGGTTCAGAGACGGGGACGCCCGCAGTCCCCGTAGACTCAGGAGTCAGTGCTCAAGAGCCCAACGAAACCCTTGCAGCCTTCTACGTCCTACGTTTACATCGGGAAAGACGGAAAAAGCTGTCTGCGACACGACATGATTCTTGTCGTGTTGCAAACGGCAACATGCCTTGACCAACCTGCGCAGCTGGATGAGATGTGAAAGTTAAAGTGTTGCAGCTCCTTCGTGAAACCCCCGCTTCGTCCCGGATACAGAGCCGAAGGGCCTGTCGACATCTCGCTCCACAGCTTTCCCTTCTCACACTGTAAGCCGAACCTGGACCCGACCCAGACCAACTTCACTTTTCAGCTAACCCTGAGATTGGGTGGCTTCGTGGCGTGACTTCACCGGATTGCTTCCCGAGGGCTGCCCCGCAAAGGTTGTGAGGGCGGGGTTATGCGGCAGTGCATAGCAGTCTACATTTTCCAGGTCGACCTTCATCAATCGACTCCTTGGCACGAGCGTGCAGGACGGCCTGAACTGCTAAGACATGACGAAACTGTGCCCCCAACCAGGAGACAGGTGTCGCACCGACAGACGACGGCTTTACCGTTCTGAACTCGGAGTGCTGAAGCTTGAGAAGGTCGTAGACATTTGCCGGATCTCCAACGGAAGCGGTGCAGAGTCTGCGCAATGACTGTGCTCACTTTGGCCACTTGGCTCAGCATGCAGCTCCGATGCGGGGAGTTTGGGTGGCAGCCCCGACCTCCGCAATGAGGCACGGATGAAGCGATTTTGAGCCAGAGCTGGCCAGGGTCGAACATGCTGCGAAGATTTTTGAGACTTTGGGGCGGTAGTTGCAGTGATGGAGGTAGCCGAGGACGTCTTGGTGGTGGTGGTGGCAGTAGTAGTGGTGGTACTAGTAGTAGTATCAGCAGCAGCAGGAGCAGGATCAGGAGATGCGGAGTGGGAGTCGGAGCAGCAGGCGCAACGGGAGCAGCAGGAGCAGGAGCGGCAGCGGTAGCCGGTAGCGGTCGTAGTAGTAGTCAGTAGCAGAAGAAGTTAGCAGGAGTATGTAGTCTGGTAGTACTCGTAGTAGTTGTAGTACTCATAGTACGCGTGGTGCTCCTAATACTCGGCGAAGTACCCGAAGTACTCGTAGCACTAGTAGCTCAAGCAGTTGCAGTAGTCGCCGTACGTAGTAGGAGCGAGCAGCAGCAAGAGCAGCAGCAGCGTAAGCGGCAATGCCAGTGCAAAAAGTATGACATCCACAGTAAATCCAAATCTCAGCAACAGCATGTTTACATGCCATGCAGTAGAGGGAGTCCTGCGCGGCCGAGTGTGACCTCGGAATCCGCGAAAGGAGATGGATGCCTTCTTCCGGCGGAAGGTCCACATTCAAGTCATAAACTGTACCTTGTCTGTTTATGTACTAGGCCCTAAGCACTGGCTATGCTGATTCTCAATTGAGAATCCACTTGTGCTCCTGCATCCTGGCACATTGCTGCTAGAAGAGTTTCGATCAGACGCCAATTGCATTCTCGAAAACCCGGACCGCCACTGTAGGCTCGCGGTGGTCGTCACTGATATTTGCCGGGGAGTTTTTCAACTCGGGCGGCTGGGTTCCTTGGCATCTCGTGGGGCCACAGCAGCGAAGTAGGAGCTTTGTATGAGAGATCGCTTCATACTGCGAGAGAGTATGGGTCTTCATGTTGGGCTCAGTACGTCCAGCGGCCAAGAACATGTCAGTGTACTTGCAGCAGTATGCAGTCTTTAAACAGGTGGGTCCGCGCTTGGAGGAGCTTTGCGAGGACGGACTGTCACTATTCTGACAGGGCCGGTCGTGCAAGAACAATTCCCTGCATGCCTTTTCCCGGCCCAGCACGTCATCTCCAAAGGATGCATGCATTGAGCTGGAAAGCAATAGCTGGACAGCTGGCCTTTCTGGCTATGCAGCTCGGCCGAGAGAGTGCGATCTGTCTGCTTGCACTTGGGTCAACATGCGCACGTGGCATCGAGGTCACCTTTCGCAACAGTGATCACTCACAGTTTTTCTGCGTCGTTGCGACTTGCCAAGAATGGTGTCGACTCGGGGTTGCATGGAGCCAATGCTCGCAACTCCGTCTTCCTTCCAGGTGTCGTTTCCCTTGTTGGGTTCGTGCTGCTTTACGGCTCGCTTCGGTGCAGACCACGGGTGGCGTGGTGGCAACTGGTGCACGAGAGAGCGCGAAAAATTCTACCCAAAACCGTCAGGCTGCGAGACCCCGCTGGTTTGCTGGAGACCCTCGGCAGATTCAGCCAAGTCAGTGCCAAGTCCAGCATCCGGGCCATGCCACGCATACCGCGAATTCCAGCTTCGCCAGGAACGCACCTCCGCTTTTACCTGCAGACCACGGCCTCACCCGTGCCGAAGGGTGTAGCTTGGCAGAGATGCGGTTGGGGACTAGCTCCGGGCCAGGGAGACAATCAAGCGAGATCATGTAAGCATAATGCGAGGCACCTGGGAAGCACTTGATGTGGGAGTCCAGGCAAGCCGTCCTGCACGAGCAAGTGAGCGACGTTTTGCAGCATATGTGGTGCTGTTGCAGGATATGGCGGTGATACGCTGCGTCCTGCTTCCGAGCAAAATGAAGCGTAGCTTCGGCTGCAGGGTTCCGACAGTTTCGGGTTCGCCTTGTTTCGGGTCCGAGTTTCCGGCTTGCGCATCTCGCGTGGGGGGAACATTTAGGGTTTGGGGTTCATGGTTTCTCGGACATGCCCGAGCCGGAAATTGACCCGCCACTTTGTCCGACCAAAAATGGTGGGCTTGGCCCACAGGGCAGCCTCCGCAGAGCAGTCCCACCGCCAATCTCAGGTCTGTCCGAAGATTTCTCCTCGGCATTGAAGAATGCCGCATGGTGCCTTGGCACATCTTGGTGCCAACCCAACTGGCCTCATAAAATCTAATAAAAATGCAGCTTGTTCAACTGCAGGCCCAGTCGGTAACGAACGTTGAAGATGGAACCTGCTTGCACGATAGTTTTCCTCGCTTGTTGTCCCAACGTGTGCTTGGTCCAACATGTTCCGAAATGCCAAGATGTGTCAAAGAGAGCGCAGTCAAAGCAAGGTGTGCTACGTCCAGCGAGGACGGGGCTGCTGCCACTCGCCTTGGCAGGAGCGGGAGCACCGCAGCGATTGGCAGCTGCAGGGCTGGCAAGGCTTCTACTGTAGGGCTTCGCTTGTCCGACTACTGTGGGTTGCTCGTTGCGTTTTGCAACGATGTTCGACCTGCGTGGCTTCTCAGCTACACCTTCAGGTTCAGCTGCTTCTGTGCGAATTTGGGATCATGCGCGCGGTAGCAAAGTTGCAGCTACTACAAGGTGGTGACGTTATGGCGGTGGTGGTCGTGGTGGTGCTGCTGCTGCCGCTGCAGGTGTCCCACGTTTTGCTGCAGCCAGCGGTGCTCGCGGTGGCTGTGGCTGTGGCGGTGTTTGTTGTTTTGCTGACGTTTTGGGTGTGACGAGGCCGTTTTGTGGCCTGTTTGACATGGTGGTGCTGCTGCTGGTGGGCGTGACTGTGATGGTTCTAGATTCTAGATCTATTCACCGCTACAGCCTTCAAGCGCTTTGTAGGAAAGATTCTGCTGTGGAGTGCGAAGGAGAAGCAGTCGCATCACGGAGCGGCGTCTTGAGGTCGAAATCGAGAACCAGCCGGGTCCCCGGCGTCAACATTCAACATTCAGGAAAGTTGGAGCTTTTTGTCGCGAGAATTGGGCCCGAACCCATGTTGCCGACTGCAAAACAAGTGGTCTGGTGCAGGTCTTCAGAGTCTTTCCTCTTCGACAACGATTGGTTTAAGCATGGAAGCTGGGTGGATGGTGCGGTGGACTGCCTGCCACCAGGAACCACAACGACCCTGAAGCTGTGCTGCTTGGACTCCTTGGCCTTAGACCAAGTGTTCGTTGCTTGCACGTGAGTCCTCTGATTATGAGGCAACTCCGACTTCACCTCCGGGGTCAGTGGCCTCTTCTGGTACGTGAATGAGGCGTCTCTTCCAGTACGTGATCCCAGTACGTTGATCGAAGCGGGTGAAAAGCCGGGATTCAAGCTTTGAGACAGGAGACCAAAGCATTCCCGTGCTCGAATCGAGACGTCAGGGGGCCCCCCTTGCCCTTTGCAATCTCTCTCTCTCTCTATGTCTCTCTCGCTCTGTCTCTGTCTCTGTCTCTGTCTCTGTCTCTGTCTCTGTCTCTGTCTCTGTCTCTGTCTCTGTCTCTGTCTCTGTCTCTGTCTCTCTCTCTCTCTCTGTCTCTCTCTCTCTCTCTCTCTCTCTCTCTCGCTCGAAATCCGTCTCACCCTCTCCCTGGTTCTTTCTGTTTCTTTTCTCTCGGCCCGTCTGTCTCAATCTCGCTGCCCCTGCCTGCCCCTTGCCGCGTCAGTCGCCCATCTTTCCCCTTCGCTCTCATGCAAACTACTGCGAACGCCACGGCCTGTTGCGACGTGTGCCTGTTGACCACGTCCTGCCCATCCAAGTCTAGTCGTGTAGCCCAAGGGATGTTTGCCTCGAGGCTCGCTTCGACGTGTACCTCAGCCTCGTGTTCTCTCATCCTATAGCCAGCGAGGCGGTCACGGTCAGACGAAGGAGATGTGTTCAACAGTTCCAAGAATGTCCTCGCAGAGAAGTTCCAGGCAGCCTTCGATGCCTTTCTGGGAGCTCCGCCTGCTGAGCTGCACAGCGAATGGTGCCAGGATGGACACCTTGCTTCCGTTTGCGTCGCCAAAGGGGTTGTGATATGTTGTGATCTGTCATTTCGAGGCGCCGCCAGTGAGCAGCGAGAATGACAGGCCCATGGGAGGAGTCGTGACAGCGCAGATGCGGCGAGCGTTGATTCGGCCATGTGACACTCTGACGCTCCTCCAGGCACGGCTGCCGCTGGCGGGTCCTCGAGCGTGGCCCTATCCTTCGCCTGAAGGCCGATGAGAGCTAGAGTTCGAGCATCGCAATGGGTCGCAGATACTCGCAGCCGACGGGTCTGGCGCCAAAGCCCCTGACAGGTCACGTTGCCAGAGTCGCTGCCGCGGGCCGCCAGTGGGTTGCCCAGGCCCCCAAGGCCTTGATCCGTGATCAACTTCGCATCCGAAGGGGGCATCTAACTCACTACTGGTGGCAGTGTCACGACATGTCACGACTCACGTCACATGGACCCGATTCTGCGAGTGCCATCGCTCTTATGTTCTTTGCGCAGGCCGGAAGCTGAGCAGAGGGTGCTGGCGGTGCGTGGCGAGGCGGCTCCTGAGCGTATGTCGCGGCCCTTCCCTGCGCTCGCGCCTCGGAGGCCCCGGGGCAGGCCCAGCCGGCTGGGCGCGAGGAGTCGGAGGTTGCAGCTCCCAGCTCCCTGGCCTTACGAGTAGCAGCCCGGAGCGATTGCCATCCAATTGCAGTTGGAGGCTTCATGGATGTGACTCGACCGAGAGACTTCATCGACGGCGTGGGGAGTGGCTCCTTGGCCCCGCCAACGGATCTGAGCACGGACAGCCAATTGTGCTTGCAAATGCTCGAATTGAGTTTTCGTTTGTAGCGGGCAGCAAGCAGAGGCAGACTTTGTTCACGGGAGACATAGCGTGATGATCGTGATGCTACTTCTGCCGAGGCCTCACGGCCGCCTCCGTCGGCTTTGCGGCGGGCGGCGCGGCCCTGGTGGCTGCGCCCGCGGTGGGTCTCTCCGAGGCTCGATGTGCGGGGCTGCAGAGTCGCAAGCAGAGACACGATGGGGCGTCTGGCGCGTGCTTTCCCAGGGCGGCGTGCCCGGCTTCGCTGCTCCGGCCGCAAGAAAGACACAGAGACAGGCCGCAGGCCACGAGACGGCTGCCTGCGCCTCGTCCGCTCAGGTGCTGGGCCTGGCACAGGGCGGCGCGGCAGCTTTGGGTTTGGCGGCCTGCGGGACGGCTGCCTGCGCTGCCCAGGCGTATACAACGCAAAATCTCCATGCTCTCTGTCAGCAAAACGCTCAAGGCAGCAAGCAAAAAGCTTTGAATGCCCGGAGGTGGCGCGGGGCATGCTCAACACGCCGGAGGCGGAACCACAGCTATGGTTCTGGGTTTAGGGGCACTGTTCCCGTGAGCGCCGTGAGCCCACAATGCGGGGCCTGCACGGGTTTCGATGCACCCTCTGCAGGCCCTCATGCAGCAAGATGGGACGAGATGGGATAGCACCGCGGTTGCATTATCGGGTCAGTTTCATACTAGTTGTGGATTGGCCCGATCGAGAATTGCAAAGTTGCAATTTGAGTGTTACAGAAAGGTGCTCGCGGCAAGTGGGTGGACGATTTCGTGAACCTTCAAGAGGAAGAGGCACAGGCCGGGTCCTTCCGCACAGTGCTGTGATGCGCTGTGCAGTCCCTTGAATCCAAGGCCGAGAAGGTTCCAGAGGACTGCGAATCAGCAGCTTGGCCTGCAGGGTTGCAAAGGGCTTTGTTTCGCGACGGAAGTGGAAGTGGAACCAAGGAGGAGGACTCGCCCTTGTTCGGTAGTGCATACAAGAAGGAGGTCGCAGACTCTTAGATGAACCTTTCATTTCCAGTATCGGCTTTGACACGTATCGCCTCCCATGTCGACGTGTGTTTGTGCAGTCAGGACTCGTCCTACTACGACATCATCGGCGTGAAGCCTGGGTCTCTGCCCGCCGACATTAAGAAGGCATACTACAAAGCTGCGTTGCAGGTGCATCCAGAGACTTGCCCGTACAAGCGCTCTTTCTGTGTGGAAGCTGTTGCAGTCTGGACTATGCGCCCGGGCACACCCAAATAGTCCCACATGAATACTGGATCTTATATGTACATACGGATACTTCAGAGGAGTTTCTTAGTAAACAAGCCTGGTGACCGTCGCCAATTTCATTGTCAGAACTACGGGCGCTGTGATAGTCCAGGTTGAGACAGACACGATGCACCTTCCCTGATAGACACACTTTCCACGTCTCCACTGGCTCCACCATCGGCCGTTGCGCAGAGATAGAGAGCTGAAGCGGATAACCTGGCAGCCTTCCTCCTGCCTGCTGCATCCGAGGACAAGAACCCCGGCGACCAGGAAGCACATGTGAAGTTCCAGCAGCTTTCGGCGGCGTACCGTGTGCTGAGTGACCCTCAGCCACACGGCAAGAGATTGGAGCATGGAAAGCGCTGAAGAGCACTGCCAAAGACAGAATATTTCAACAGAGGCTGCGCGAGCGATACGATCAAATAGGTGAGGAGGCGACCAAGGAGGCCCCGTGGGGAATATGCTGCCACGCCATGGCCATCTGAGCTTCTGTGAGAGGCAGAGCTGCCTTCAATTGATCCTATCCTCTTTTTCGGCATTCTCTTCGGCTCGGAGCATTGTGGCTGGCCGCATTGAGACTTAGATCGTGACTTACCAAAGTCTTCGCGAATTTGACGTGTACGCGACCCGAGGCGAAAAGTACATTGGCAAGTTGTACCTTGCCATGCAGACGAACCAGCAACCTGGACCTGTCTCGTGAGGTGCACCTCTTTACATTGGGGCCGATGCACCTTCCCATCCCAGGCTAGCCAAAGAGCTCCAGCGTCAAAGCAAAGGCGGAGAGGACATCCTGAAAACCAGGCCCGTAGAATCATGCCCTCATCTGAAACATATTCGTCCGGACCAGGGGAGAACGACAGATGCAACAGCGCCAGCACCTGCGCGAGGCCAGTAGTTCATTGTTGTTAGGATTCGAAACAGAACCACTTGGCGTAGGTGCGCTGTGCGCGGCATCTTCGACATCTTGTAGACGTGTGGCCCCCTTAGTTACAATGGTACGTATGGCATACGTCGTATGCACAGCTGCCAGCTTGGGGCAATCTGCAAGCCTTCTGAGATGGGCTGTCCAACGCGATGGCCGCAGTTTTGTCCGACAAAGTTCGGAGGAGGCGGGCGCTTGCATGAAAGGCTTGAGGTTAGCGTGTCATCTTTCGAGCAGCAGTCTTCGGATCACCTGAAAAGTAGAGGTAACAAGGCCGCTGTAGTTTGCTGTTGGATTCGGATTGGTTCAACCCCTGGCTTGGAAGGCCAGCTGCTTGAACCAATGCGCTTTTGGTGGGAGGCTGGCCAAAGGAACCATGTCTTCACGGCAGAGCTTGTGCCGGTGCCCTGTGTTGAGGCTCCTCAAAGCCATCAGCCAAGCCTACCAGACTACAGCGGAAGACTACCTCTCGAGTAACTCAACACAGCATTGTAACATGTTTGTGTTTTTGCTGCGATTGCTGCTGCTTTCTGCTTGAAGGCGACATCCTGGGCCTTGCTTCGCAGCTCAGGCCTCTACGGCCCGCTCACCTTAGAGTCACAGCTCTCTCGCTGGAGCCATGGCTTCCAGGACGTCCCGAAACCTTCTCGTCTTGCGGGTTCGCTGCAAGCCTATCCATGTCTTGCTCGTCTTACAGGGTGGTACTGGGTGCTTGAAACAGAAGTGTGTCGCCTCGATGCTGTGTGGCTCATCCGCATCAGCGTCGTCATTGCTGTTGAACTGTGGCCATCATCATCATCATCATTAGTATCTCCAGCATCGTCATCATCTGCATCGTCATCATCATCAAGCAGGTGACTAGCATGAGCTTCCCTCTCGAGAAACTGGGCAACTGGGGATTTGCTCTGCTCCTTCCAGGGTCCTAGACTTGAGCCTTGTACCTCTAGGCTTCTGCTGAGCCTTGGAGTTGCATCGTTGTTATTGTAGAAGCTTCGCGTCGTCCGCCTCGGCCCGTTCGCCCAATAAGACGACGAGCGTGGCTGCAGGGTGCACGTGTTGGGGGGGGGACCTCTGACCGCTTCAGGACCGCGGCGCATTACCGCTATTGCCGTTGCCTTTCTTCTTATCACCATCGTGACCGTCACCGTTGTTGTCATCACGACAACAGCAGCACCAACAACGACAGCGGCAGCGACGGCGACAACAATGCAGTCACGAACAATATCACGATCAAGAATAGCACCGACAACTGCCGAAACCTCGCCGTTTTCCACAACAGGACAAACAACAGCAAATGGCGCCGCCGCCGCAGCTGCACAAACAGCATCAGCAAGGTGACGAGTTGTCCGCAGCACCGTTTTGTGCCGACATGCCGACAAGAAGCTATCCCCGTGATCCCTTGTCCTGAGGACGCCCAGCTGAAAACCTCAGCAGGCCTCAGTCTGGCGAAGGCCCTGGCCTGTGGTCAAGATCAGGATTGAGGATCTGAGGATCTGAGGATTGAGGTGAGTGTCAGTCCCTGAATGGTCTTCAGGCTCGAGCAGGGTCGATCCACTGTCAGCACCCCAGCTGCCCAGCTTGCAGGCTGCATATGCTGCAAACTCTGTGGCCGCCAGCGTCCACCGAAGAATGAGTTGGGTGCTCAGTTTATGCCGGAGAGCTCTGAGGAGTTCTCGGCACCTGCAGGAGAGCAGCCCTTGCCGCGTGCTCCTTGGGGGTGTAGCGGTATGTGGCAGTAACGGCATTAGATTGAGGCGAGAAGAACCTCAATGCAACCTACATTCCGGAGGGCGCCAATGCTGCGCTGCTGCACTGGTGTGATGCGAAGGTTTGGACAAGCATGTTTTGCAGAGGGAGGTTTTCATGTGTACTTCTGCACCATACATTATCAGATGCTTCGAAGCGAGCATGAGATCAAAGCACCATCCAGCAGCGAAGGTCATCGACAACAAAATCGCCGAGTCGTTGGAAGGCCCCCAGACGGCGTGACGATGCCCCATTCCACTGATCTTTTTGTCGTGGAGGGTCTGCCAGCCCATGATCTGGTTGCTGTAGGGGGCATAGTAGCCAGGGCCATCTCCTCTTGGTCCTATTGCGCAGGCCAGTTACCCATCTTCCTGCAGACGCTTTGGGACGTTTGTCTTCTGGACATCACCTCCACCCTGAAGAATGTCTCTGGCAAGGCCCATTCACAGGCAGCCGGCTCGTTGAGGCTTCGTTGAAACCCATGTGGTCTAGGTGGTCAAGGATGTCAGTGTCCCGTGGCAGCTGCGGGTGCGGCGGGCGCAGGCGAAACGCGGCTTTGCAGGTTTCGAAGAAATTGGGGCTTCGGAGACTTGTGGTCCGATGGACTCGCGACCTGCTCTGCGATCAACGTGTGGTGAGATTTCCAGCCCTCAGTTGCATGAGGCATTGCTCCGCCTGGCACGCATCTTTCGTGATGCGGGGCAGCGCGAGGCTTCGGACACGAAGAAGGCCTGCGTGGCTGCTTGGTCATCCGGTTGCTCAGGTTGTTTTCAACCAGGGTCGGATCCAGAATCCACACCCTTCTGCGTTGTTGGTTCGGTAGCTCGCACGTCCGATGCACCAGATTGTAGGCAGAGGTCGCCAAGCAGCTCCTGGAAGAGGCGCCAGCAACCGGAATGAGACTCCATGCCGCGATGACCCCACCGGCACCACCAGGCATTGATGGGTTCCGTGAAGCGGTGACCGTTCTGAGAGTCAATGGACGTAGAGAGCAGCCAAGGGGAGTCCCAGTATATCCGTGATGCTAGCTTTTCTTAGTCGTCTGCGTGCCATTTTCAGTGATGCTGATTCTCTGCAGAGTCTGTGGTGTCTTCAGAGCTATTTCATTGCGGTCTTCCGGTTCTTGTGATGGTATCTTTTGTATTGCTGTCGGCAAGCTGTGCAACGAACAGCTTTCCAGCACACGTTGCTACCCTGTACAGAGAAGTGTCGCCACCATGGGAGTGCCATGGGTGAAGACTGTTGCAGAGACGTAGCTTCCGCCTTGTACGATCTCAGAACGGAGACTGATGTATTCACGTTTTCAGCAAAGGCGTGTCGCAGATTATGGAGGGAGACGAGTTTGCTGAAGCTACCTCTGCAGGATGTCCTATCTTGAATGTAATTAGCAACAGCGTGACCACATAGATGTTGTTGCATGTTGTTGCAGTTCGCAGCCACAAAGTGCTGCAGCCAAGCTCTGAGAACCGCTGGGCGAACCCTGTCCCAAGGCTCAGCTAGACAGCAGCTCGGGATTTTCAGAGCGAGTTAATGTCGCACGCGACTTGGCTCACCGTCAGATGTTCTCAAGCCGTGAAATCCGTGTCATATAGCAGGTGTGAACTGCTGTTTGACTCCTCCAGCCTGGACAGCACAATCCTAGTAAAGTTCAGTCGGAGCAGTTTTGCACGTTATCTTGTTCTGTCCTGCACTTGATGCTCAAGGGACATCTGCCGAGCTATTGACGAAGTGCCGCTTCCGGTGTGAGGCTGTGACTGCACCCGGCATTGCCGACACATTGTTTGAAGCAAGGCAGGCTCTGCATTTGGTCAGAGTAGCCCTATCGCTTTTAGTTTTGGGCATCCCGTTTTCACAAGTTCAAAGGGCGTTCATATCGTCCATGGCCCATGAAGAAGGAGATTGCTCAAGCATGCGAGGTTCGCAAATCAAAAGTTGCGACTCACGCACAGACGGACAGACGGACAGACGGACAGACGGACAGACGGACAGACGGACAGACGGACAGACAGCCAGGCAGACAGGCAGACAGACGGACGGACTGACGGACGGACGGACAGACAGACAGACCAGATTGACCAGACGTGCCCGACAGACCCGACAGACCAGAAAGACAAGACAGACCAGACAGAGCAAGATCCAGAGCAAGAGCCAGAGCAAGAGACAGAGCAAGAGCCAGAGCAAGAGACAGAGCAAGAGACAGGCTGGATGGACTTGTCCAGGATGTTTGTTGTGAAGCTCGGGATGCGCCAGATTTCGGCTCCCAGATTTTTCGTGCACCCACCCAAACGTCCAGCCTACCCGCCCTGAGGAGCTTCAAACATCGACAACATTCAATCAAGCGGCTCCGCTGGCAGACAACATCTCAGACGGCCGGCAGAACATGGCGGGCTATGAAAGGGGACTGTCTGAAGTCCTGCGGACTTGATGCTAGTGCCACTGTGTATCATAGGCTTTGTGTCGTCTCAGCGATATGAGCTCGAAGACGGCTTCCGGGGCATTTTATGTCTCAGCGATATGAGCTCGAAGACGGCTTCCAGCAAAGACGCTGGCAGATGCACATCGCAGAAATCCACAAAAGACGTATGTGCAGCATGTTTAATCGCAAGGGCCCTGAGTGAAACAACAAAGCAAGATCCAGAGCAAGAGCGAGAGCAAGAGACAGAGCAAGAGACAGAGCAGAAGACAGAGCAAGAGACAGAGCAAGAGCCAGAGCAAGAGACAGAGCAAGAGACAGAGCAAGAGACAGAGAGACGGAGAGACGGAGAGACAGAGAGACAGAGAGACAGGCAGAGAGACAGACAGTCGACGAAGACAAAGACAGAGACAGAGACAGAGACAGACAGACACAGACAGACAGACATACAGGCTTGCCACATCGTGTATACCAGCCGTGAACGGAGCCAGCGTCACAGCCACTCAGGTCCTGCAGCGGCACCCAACAGGCAACGAGGCCATCGTATTGTTTGCTTTTGGACTTGCAGGGGTGGCCGTCGAAGGTGCAGCAAAGGTTCGTCTGGTAGTGGAAGGTGGAAGACGGCCCCACGCTGCTCAGCTGCCCAGAGAACCGGCCGTTCAAGGACTTCCACAGACTCTGCTGCGAAGATGTCCGAGTCATCAGATTCAGGCACCAACATGTGACGGGGCAGCGACTCGGGTAAATCTTGTGCAGCTGCTCTTCAACAACTCTGTGAAAAGCACGACGGAGCATTCAAGCCAGGAGCTTCAACGCTTTGGCCAGCCCTTCTGGGGCCACTTCCGCCGGAGGAAGCTGATGCTCCCGCAGGCAATCCGACTAATTGTGGTAGGCTGTGCCAGCGTCGCTACGGCATAGGGCTCGAGACTCTGGGTCGTGCGGTTTTTGCACGGAATTACAGAGGAAGGTTTTTGGGCTTGGCTTTGCTCGGCTTCTGTGGAGCTTTCTCAAGCCCCGTCCCCAGAATTCTTCACCGTGCAAAGGCAGAGGGCTTTGTCAGCCAAGGACAGCATCATGCCGTATGGGCTGCAGATCGTGGATACTCCTGGAATGCCTCGAGCTCAAGAGACTGCCGGGGCGGCCTGACCCTCCTGCGAGCCTCGAGCCTCCGAGGATCGACATGCCTGTGAAGTCCGAGAGCATGGCCGGTGGTCGAGGCGACGACCAGCGGCGAGTGGCCGCTTCTGGTTCAGGGTTTGTGCTTTCTGCACGAATTTGAGCCTTTCTTGGAGTAAGCTGAAACTGGCTGGTTGAGTTACAAGCAGCGCACTTCAGAAAGACAATTTCCTTTGCTTCGATGCGCTGTCTACGAATTGCTGCCCGCGCATGTTGGATGCTTCGAGTGCTGCCCAGAGCGCACGGCATGTGGAGCCGCAAGATCCTGGCCTTGCCTGAGTTCCTTTGCTGTTGCAAGTGGACAGGCTACAACTTCTTGGAAGTCGTGCGCTGGTTTGCGAAACGCGGGGATCTCTGTGGCTTCAACTTGAGCCCTGGTTTTAGCATCCCTATCCCCAAAAATCTCGGCATCCAAGATGAAGCGTTGCCTCAATCTGAAGGTGCAGATCTGATCCTGTTGCTCTTTGATCCGGACAGGCCTCGAAGCCAGACTCGTATCATGCTCGATGAGGGCAGTCTCCTTGCTGGGTCTTTGTAACTTGCGTTACAGCGCCGTGTGTGGCTTCCTAAACAATGGTCGAGGGACTTGTGTGCACCACTCGCACTGCCTTTCCAAGGCCCGGTACAACGGGTGAGTCTCTGGATGTGCTGACGCGATCCATGGCCGGGTTCAAAGGGGTTGTGGCGCTGGATGCGTCTGGAGCATTTCCTATGAAGGCCGCGATGCACCGTACAGACGTACACCGTTTTCCCAGGCTGGGCTGGACCACAAGTTTGTGATCATCCTGAACAAGGCCAGAAGCATAGAAGCAGCCTTAGAGCTGTGAAAGGGTGAAGCGGGCGAGGGGTGGGATGAAGTATAGAGCCCAAGACATAGCCTTGTCGATTCTAGATTCTAGATCCAGGGGCAGTGGTGGGATTCGCTTTTGGCAGGTGGACCAGCTTGACAGCAGCGTGGACTTTGCACGCGCCTATGGAACGCTCGGCTGGGCGCTGTCCAAGGTGCTCTGTGCTCGGGGTGTGGGGCGTTTACCAAAGCCATCACATGATCGCCTGATCGGTCCAGCAGGTGACCTGGTTTTTGCTTTCACCAGCAGTCAAAATCCCTCGGCTGGTCTGTGAATGCCTTTGCCATGTAAGTTTAGATGCTGCCTTCATGATGCAGGTGATTCCGCGCAAGGCCTCCGGGAGGGTGACACGTCCGGACATGAAGCCAGGTTTCGATAGGGTTGCGAGGCTGCAGAGGCAGGTGGTCTCCGGATGCTGTTCCAATTCGGTACGTTTGGCTAGAACTCGCCGCCGTCTCCGAGCTGCAAAAGGACATTCCTCAGATCTACACGATGTACAATGCCGGCGTGGAGCACGCGGAGTCCGCACCTGAGAGCCCTCGTGGTCTAAATTTGAAGCATCTTGAAACCGAATAAAAGAAGCCAGTCCTCTTGATGCATCGCTTATCGACAGCTCTTGCCAGGAACGGTATCCGTGAACACAAGCTCCCACTGGAGGCTCAACCAGTGAGTGTGCCACAGCTGTACATGTGCCTCGATTCAAGCTCCAAGTCATCCTTGTAGAGCGTGTGCGTCACCCCGCCCAAGGGTGCTTCCTTCCCAGTTTCGCGCATTTGTGCATTCTGTCCACTTGCTGTTGCGAGGCCTTCCGGCAAAAACGCGAGGAGGTCGTCCAGGAGGTCCTCCGGGCGCGGACTCGCCACTGGGATAATGCAGCTCGGCCCCTCTGGAAGACATGTCAGGTTTGGGTGACAGTGTTCGGTGTGCAAAAGTGTGCAAGTGCACACGTTTGCAGATGTTTGCTTCGTTTAGAGCGTGTGATATCGTCCAGCACGATGACCAGGTCATCACTGCGACCGAGGACCCTGTCGAAAATGTTGCAGCTGCCATGATAATCGGAGCCGCGGTGCTGGGACTGCTGCAAAGAATAGTGAATAGCGATGAAGCCGTTGGGCAGTGTTGTTGTTACTTCGTTCTAAGGGTCGTGGTTACGGACGGACGCAGATCGCTTCACTTCGTTTGTTGACACTGGCAGGGGCCTTGCCCTCCCAAGCTGTGCCTGTTGGCAAGCCGGCTCACATCCAGCACCGGCTGAGGGCATTCTCGTGCTTCCTCAAAGCACAGGCGAGATTAGTTGCAGGACACGCTGCGCCAGCTGGAGATGGTTTGCACCGTCACCAGTGCTGTGAGCCAGCGTGTGCGGAGGCAGCGAGCAATCGTAGCTCGCAGGGCGAAGCCACTCGTGAGCCATCGAGACTTCTGCGCCAGCACGGTGCTGCAGGCAAGCGAAGGAGGCAACCCTTTGGTCTTCTTGCTTGGTCGGCCGTGCTCTCGGAGACGAGTGCTGAGAGCAGGGCGGATGCCGAATGGGTCACTTGAATTTCTCGCACACTGAGACAATCCGCATGGCGGAAGCCAAATATTACAGCCCATCGATGCTCCCATGGGCCAAGGCATTCCAGCCATGGTCGGATTCAAGCTTCTGCACGACCGATGGGCAGGCTCTGCAGTTGTTGGAATCCAGCTTCCGAGCATCGCGGCCTCTTCGCCTCTTGAAGGTAGCCGGTGGTTTGGCGCCAGCAGCAAGCCCAGCGCAAGAGTTGTGTAGGTCTTTGTGCACTCCGTTAGAGAGAGACAGGGGGTGTCAGGAGGGCTTGGATTCTCTCTCTGCATTGGCTCGCTTTGGGAGATCAGACATGTGCGCCTTGAGTTCATGGCACGCCCAGGCGCAGCTGGCGTGGCACTGCTCCTGACCTTCGGTGTCAGTCGGCTGGTCTCCGAGTGCCCCCTTGTTGTGGTGCGTGCTGCATAACCAGCGTGGTGTCGCCTTCTGCCAGATGTTAAATTTCTATTGACTGCTGTCACTCACCTTAGCTATGTCGCCTGCCAGTACCAGTCTATCTCCTTTCGCTATGCTTGGAGCTAGCATTCTTGAACAGCTTGTGGCTGATAGCAATGGCGAGTTTAACATGCGCATGGCCCACCATCCTTAAATCTGTGTGTGAAGTTGTGTCATTGCTGGCGTTAAATCGTAAACAGACGTGAACAGTGCTTGAGCGCAGCAGCAATAGTAACTGCCGAGCTTTCTGGCCTGGCTTAGTTTTTTAAATCTGCATGATATCAGCAACTACTTGGCGGGGCTGTCTCATTCCACTTCGCTTGCGGCAATGGCACTATGCAGCTGCGAGGGCGGTGGGGCGCCACCGGAGGAAATCGATTATGAGGTCCGACGACAGCGAGCAGGGTCTAGACTCTAGACATGAACTTTGCTGAGGAAGCAAGGAGTTTGTGTCAATTCGAAGCCTGCGAGGCCATCCTCACAGTTCAGCTGGACCAGCTCCGTGCGAATTTGCTCCAGCAACACCGCGCGGCAGCTGGGACCATTTGAAGCGGAGTGACATAGCTTGCAAGCGCCTTGTGATTAGCGGCATTAGCGTCTTCTGTCGTCTACAGATTACTGTGATATCCACTCGGCCATGAACTCTAAACTTCAACTGGGGATGTGCGAGAACAGGAGACGGAACGTCTGCGGCAGCACAACCTCAAGCTCCGAGCCGAGCTGGGGCTCCTGCACCAGGCCTTGCTTTTTGGAAGTGGCGTCCTGTGCTTGGGTTTGCATCCTAACGGTCCTAATGTGGTTTAAGTGGAAATAGACATTCCGAGTTGTCTTCACGGAAAGGAACTAAGTCCCAACAGTGCCTGCCAGGGCGTGTCTGCAGATGATGATCCGTTGGTCAGCGTGGCTGACAAGGCGAGCAATCCATATTCTTGGCAATCAGCTTTTGTGACTTTACAAGCCCTGAGGACCTTGCATCTTCGCCAGCCCCGCTCTTGGTCGCATCCCGTCTAAACCAGGCTTAACCAACGAGGCAAACTTGGTTCATTGTTGTCAAGGTACTATGCCAGCTGACATAGCTCGGCTTGCAACTCCAAAAGCCTTACAGCCAAGACCCAGCGCCTAAAGCCAGCCAGCCGAAAGCCGAGGAGCTTCATCCCGCATCGGATGAAAAAGATCGCCTGACCGAGCCGGCGCACAGGCGGACTTTAGGGGTCGAGCTTGGCACATCGTATCTTGGATTACAGGCCAGGAGCCTGCGCACGCGTTTAGCATTGGTCCAGCATCTCCCCATAGACTCATACCGGTAGTACCCGTTGCAGCACACCGATCTCAAAATGGAGATCCGTAGCTGCCCAGAGTGCAGCATGTGCCTTGGGCCGTTTGCTGAAGGCAGGCACAAACCTGAGCCCATGAAATACGGTGTGTTCGTCTCGTCGAGGTGGGGGCTTCTCGTGGCTTCCCTGCTGGACGGCGAGGCCGCCCTGGAGACTTTGTGAGGTTCTGAGTCTTGAGCTTCATGAACCGAAGCGGCTTCCACCTTTCTCACCCCTTTTGTATCGACTTCAATGCAGGGTGTATGTTTTTTTGTGATGACCATCCAACGTCAGCAGAAGCAAAGATGCACACAGAACCCAAGATTTGTGACAGGACTCTGGGTGGGAGCCTGCCCCTATTTCTCCTGCTGCGAACCGAAGCAGCAATATCTTGCGAGTGGCATATACATGGAAGGATCGAGTCAACTGAAGCTACAAATCCGCTTAGCACTTCTTGTGGAAAGCGGTGACAGCCGAGCGACAAGATCATGTCCTTGATACCCGTACGCTGGGCTCGTGTGATCTTGCGGTAATGTGTTTGGTTTATCAACGTTTCATTTGATCCACCACGTAGTGACGGGAGCAAAAGTGTGGAAACGGTATATGCGGCGCAGCAGGAGCTGTCGAAGCAGCGATCGCCTGTGTGCATGCAGCACTTAGCAGCAGCCGCAGTTCAAGCATTGCGAGTGCAATCTCAGGGCAAGCTTTACGCCGGCGCCGCTGCAAATGAAAGCTTCCTGGGCAGCCGGTGTCCACCAGATGCGGCAATTCCGTCATCCGGACGAAATACTGCCAGATGTATGTGGGGTTTCCCATGACACACGTCAGTTTGAGTTGGCGGATTTTGGCACAAGTACGCATGTGGTCGGTATGCCAGGAAGCTACCGGACAACACTGAGCTCGAAGAACAGCACACTGCGGATGCAAGATGCGGTGCAAGAGGACATTCTCTGGGCCGTTTGGTCTTCCGTTCTACGAATTCCGCCTACTTGCATTCCAGCGACTCCTAAAGAGTTGGTTTCGTCGTACAAGCAGCTGCAGTCCCAGCGCTTCAACAGGCTTTCGTCATTGCTTCAGGGCATGCAGAAATAACGCCGTGGCGACGATCCTTTCCAGGAGGATAGCATCTTCCAGCGCTTCGTCGTGGGTCCACGCAGCAAGCAGCAAATGATTTGGTCTACTGTCGGAGCAATATGGATCGTTTGGGACCTGTGCCCTGCCTGGAATTGCACGAGCTGCGCTTGGTTCGTTCGGGGTCGAAAGGTTGGACATGGGCAGTTCGGTCTTGTGGTGTTGGTGGAAGCGGCTGAAGGCCTTCGGAACAGAAGAGAAAGGTTCCTGCGTACTCTGTCCTGCTCAGCGCACATGCATCACTGCAACATACTGCAACACTTCGGTTCTTTCCTGCTCACAAGCCCCCGTGGCCCTAAGAACTGACATCTGGCAGAAGACGCTGAGGATTACAATTCCCCTGGGTCTTTTTCAAGTGGAAGACTTCATCCAGCTCATGTCCAACGTGGCACGGGTCTCCTTCGTGTGCCTCGGATGCACGAAGCCAGTACCGGAAGGTTCACCAAAAATCCCTGAGAGTTGCAAGACAGTTGCGCCATTGATTTTTGGGTCACGCGCGGACTCGTTTCAACAGGTACTGGTTCTTCGACATACCAGTTCACTTCTTCTTTGGCATCGAGAAACGAGGTCGCACTAGCAGGAACTCACTTGAGCACAAGATGTCCTTTGCAAGTCTTGACTTTCGAGAGTTGCTCCCGCAAGGGCAATAAGTGCCATTAATCGGCTGGCATCCTGCGCAGGGAAGCTCGAAATGCGGCCTTCCGTCCTGGCGAAGCACTACTTGCGCCCCTTGACTGTTGCTAGCCAGCCCTCTGTTGCGCAAGGCTTTCTCCGGGCATGTCGCTTATCACTACGCTAGATGCCCCTGCAAAACACGCTTGGAGTCGGCCTCGGCTTCTCAGGCGGGTGGTTCTGGGTGGATGTGATGGTCGTGGCTTTGGATGCTACGCTAATCCTGGTGGAAGCCCTGCGCGACATGGGCGTGCACCTTGGCGCGAGAAAAAGCTCCGAGGCCTGTAAGAAGCCGTGCTCCATGGTGAAAGAGTCGGTAGTGCGTTCGTTGTGTCAGTTTCGCAAGTTGCCTCTGTGACGTGAAATTGTGGGCTGGTCTCCACACGCCAGCCGCCAGGAATTCGACCATCTTTCGATCTGCACGCTTCCTCCGGACACTGCGCCTGCTGCGGTTGCTTCGCCTGCTGGCTCAAGATGGTTGGACTTTCAGCAAAACCTTTAGTTCCCTCTTGGCCTCCTAGCATCCAGGATTACGGTGGTCGCTAGTGGCACGGAGTTCGCCTGTAATGTACTTTCGAGTCAGCTTGGTGCCAGGTGCCCTGGGCTCCTCGCAAACTCTTAGAGCGGTTCATCTCTCGCCCTTCCCCCATATCTTCTGCACGCCATGCCTGTCGTCCGTTGCTTTGTTCCATCACTATCATCTCGTGTGTGTGTGTGTGCGATGAGATGTAGCTTCCCAGGCCCCAGGTGCGTTTTTCCACGCGGAGCCTAATGAGGGGTCGGGTTTCTGATGTGGGAACCGCCATCACCTACTAATCAGCCTTCTCGGCCCTTGGAACGGTTTTGTGCACAGCTTGCAATAACGAGCCTCATACCTTCGAAGGGAGATGTTGCTGCTACTACTACTGCTACTACTATTACTGCCCCTTCTCCCCCCCTCTGCCTGCTATTACTATTACTACTACTACTACTACTACTACTACTACTACTACCACTACTACTACTACTACTGTTACTACTACTACCACTACCACTACCACTACCACTACCACTACCACTACCACTACCACTACCACTACCACTACCACTACCACTACCACTACCACTACCACTACCACTACCACTACCACTACCACTACCACTACCACCACTACCACTACCACTGCACGACGACTAGGACAGCCGCTACTCCTACTGCAGGTCAGATGCTCCATTTGATGCCAGAAATCAGACATCTCCATAGCATGCCTGGAAACGATTGTGATGTTTTTGGTTTTCGACATCCGAGACAAAAACTTAGCCTTATTCGTGTTTGGATTCCTCACCCGTTTCCAGGCCTTTTGCGCGTGGCGAAGCTTCAGCAAGAGCTCATGATCCTAGCAAACAGCTGCTAGCTTCGATTGGTTTCAGAAGAGCGCGGGGCTTTGGCTTTCTAGGACGTTGGTGCCCTGGGCTCCTCGGCCTCGGTGTGCAGGATTTGGGCTGCAGCGGTCATGCAGCCGCGCGTCACATGACGTATCTTGCGCGATCTCGTAGGTTGCCGCTCACAGGGATAGAAGCTGAGGCTTTCTTTCGACTCATGCGTTCATGGTCGTGAAGATTTGTGTCGGGCTGGTCATGATGCTGATGATCAATCACGTCATCGCTTGCTGCTGGTACGGCAGCTTGGCCTTGTGTTCCACACTGCCTTGTAATTCGAAGCGGTCTTCCGAAGTACCTTCCAGCGTCCTAAGTGTCGAGCAGCGAGGTATCGGTACCTATGACATGAATGGCAAGAACTGGATTGTGCAAGCAGAAATGGAGTCAGCGCCCTTCGGCGAGGCAGGCTTATCATTGCGATGCATGGGTGCAGAAGCACTGGTTTCAGCTGTTTGCAATTTTTGGAGACTCCGTCCATCCTCAGTGCCATCAGGCTTATGCTGCATCGATGCACTGGGAATCTCGACTTGATGTGGTTGGATGTTTCCCCGTTTCTCCTTGTCGAATTATCACGATTGCCGCCCTCGGTCTTCCGTGCATCTCAAGCTCGGCTGTCGATATGAAACTTGAGTCCACAAAGTGAAAGCAAGGGAAGCAGCTCTTGAAGAGTCAGGACCACTTAAGGCTAAAGGCTGTTGTGGCACCGATTCGACCGCCCCTGACGACTGCTCAGGCACTGACCCAGTTTACACCGGCCACCCAGGATATCGCTGCGAGCAATGCGGTCGCTTGCCCCTTCCAAGGTTCGTGTCTTGCGCTGGGTCCTTGCAAGCCTTTCGTTTTTTCGCTTTCGAGGCTGGGTCGTGGTTTGCTCCCCAGAGGTATTAAGGAGCCAGGTTGACACATCACTGTCATTCACTATCTATCACGACATAGACTTGGCATCGTCTTGAGATGCACGTTTGTGCATATTTGGCATTGGTGGGTCTTGGCCAGAGACGACCGGGCGTTTCCTTTCGAAGCGGAGCCAGTCGTACCCGCTGCAGGCTATCTTTAACAATGGAAGAGTTAGAGTCTAGTTTGTAGCGCCGCAAGAACTTCTCAAAACATCAGAGAGGTTCGCTCGGCAAGGGTCAAGCTGAATCGACTTCCGGGCCAGTTGCAGATAGTTGCTCTTGTGAAGCCTTTTCCTGGCTTTGGTGTCATAACCGAGGTTGAGCGCGTGTTCGCTCTGCTGGTCATTCTCATGGCCATTGGGGTCTTCTCGTCGGGCCGGCATGTTCTCGGCGATTCGGTGTTCACAGGTGCGTGAGCTTTGCAACTGGCTTAGTTCAAATTCTGCCGTGCCATCTCTCAGACACCTTTCTACTTTCGGATTCAAGGTCAACCTGCGGCCCTGTATGTCAGGTCCTTCATTACTTCCATCACGGCTACAATGAGCTCTCTGCGGAAAGCAAGAGACGACAGCAACAAGACTCAGATGACACTGTTCCGCTTCTTCAATCAACGGAGCTTCAGCTTCAGATGTAAGCAGTGCAAGCAGTTGGACTGATTAGACTCTGTTTGTGAGTCCGCGGAAGAAAACAACCTTCTCATTGCTAGCGGTTAGCTATGGGGCAAACCGAAATTTTGGTCCTGAGCACGGCTGGACCGGCTTTGGGGTTTTATTCTTTTCGTGTCGTTTCTGGTTTGGTCCGGTCTACTTGGATCTCAATCGCTCCATTTCGGACGATTTCGTTGAAGGCTTGCCCAGCTTCCGTGTCGTATCCATGCAACGAGGATATCTCCTCAAAGTACTGACCAGGCCCAGCCAGATTCGAGATTTGCTACCGACTTTATAGTACATGTCCATGTGGTGGTTGTCTTGTGGCCAATCCATCTCAACCGACTCCATTCTCTTCCTCTTCAAGCCTTCCTGGTTACCCAATGCTTTATTTCAGGAATCTTTCGGTGGGCCTGTATGGCAAAGTCGAGGAAGCTCTGCGGCTGGATGGTCTGGCGTCAGTGCGTGTGAAGGAAAGCCACTCTGCAAAATTCTTGCTTCGAGCCTGCCTCCTAGCGCATAATGCTGCAGTCTGCGGTATCACCATGCGTGTTGTCAGATGCTGGACAGTCCTAGACTCAGGTGAAGTTCCCGTTCTGGCAAGGATGCCGGAGCGGCTGAGGATGCAGCTGCACGAGGAGATGTACATGCCGATGGTCAACGTCCTTGGCTTCTGGCCCGATTCTGCCCCGGACCACCAGTACTTCTACTCCAACCTTTGCCACAGCTGCATCTCCGAAGATTTCTGCACGCAGCAGCAGGACGTCTTCATGCCCGGCACCGACTGCAAGCACGTTCTGGTTGTCGAAACGGGCCTCATGCACTACTTCGCACGGAACCAGGCGCACGTCCTGACTCGCAACCAGGAGGTCCAGAGCGAGGACGTCTTGTGCCTGCCATGCCTCTGGGCCGATTGGCAACACCGTGGCCGGCTCACTGCCAGCAGTGGAACCTCCTATTACGGCAAAGTGAACGCAGACGAGTGCCTCGGCCTTGCGGCGCAACGCCTCACTCTGACTCTTCTTTATCTAGACTCTAGGGCCCTAGGGCTTTGCCTGGCAGAGTTCTGGCCACGAGTCGAGCCGTTGATCGATGCAGCTCAGGTTTGTTCTCTTGGCGCGCAAATTCGGCGGTGCTTTCTGGGTTCATCTGCAAATTTTCGGACCCTTGGTCGCCAGCAGATGTTGCTTCGCGTTAGGAGACCGTCGCATCTGCTCTCGTCACTTCGAAGCGTGCAGCCGCTACAGACTCACCGGAGGAGCGCGATCTGATAGCTGTGCTTCCTGCGGCAGCAAGCGAGGTATACTTTTGATCAGCGAGATCGAGAACAGAGATGAACGCAGCAACATCAGCGAGCACATCACGGACATCCAGATGAGCCTCTGGGCTTCAATTCGCATCAATTCGCAAGATCTGTCAGGTTTCGGTTAAGATCCTGTCCGCACGTTGTTTCCACAGACAGTGTTAGCACTACGCGAGTCTTGAATTACGGGCAAAAGATTTGGTTGCTGTGAGACATGCCGAGAACGCGAGGTGCTCGCTCATGCACGCTGCCAGTGTTTTTGCTTTCTGTATGCTCGCACGAGCAGGTTGGCATGCAGGTTGCAATTTCCCCCCTGCACCAGTGCTGTTCTCCGGTCCACTCGATAGCGCGCAACGACTCGCTTCAAGACTCACGCGTCACTCCCACTTCCCATCGTCAGCAAAAGTCGACACTGCTGTGAACCCCACGAGCCAGGCAAGGATGAGCTTCAAGTCATGAAGAGCCGCGCTGGCTCGTGCTTCGGCTCCAAGCGGTGTCTGGAAGACTCGAAGTTGGGATACTCGAGCAGCTCGAGTCTCGAATCACAATAGCTGAATAGCTTGAAGGCTTCGCACTCCTCCAACGAGACTTTTGAGGCTGCGCTGAGAAAAACGTTCCCTTGCCTGCAAGTCAAAGACCAAGGTATGTGGGAATTCTGCAGGCAAACGACACGGCGTACTCCCGCAGAGCAGAGTCGCCACCTGTCTTGGTTTGAGAGCCACTTTGGCCGTTGCCGACTGTGCCCTGCTCTGTGCATGCAGACTATCGAGTAGCAAACTCTCGCCTTGATCGGGGGCCTGCGGAGCCAACTCAGAGCTCCGATGTTGCAAGGACGCCGAGCCTCCACTCGAGGATTCCCTTGGTCACTGCAACCAGGTCCTTGGAGCAAGGGGGGGTATTCTGGGAAGTACATCTTTCCTGACCCCTGCTATCACAAGAAGTTGTGGATGGGTTACTGAAGTCATGCATGTAAATCCGAGGAGCAGAATCCGTTCAACGACATGTACTACAGACTATCGAACTGCGTAGCTTGAGTTGCTGCATGGCATCGCATGGCGCAAAGGTTGCGTCTAGAAGGGGGTTTCAAAACTCCAAGCTTGGACTCAAGTTCTGAAGCCCAGAGCTCCGAAGCGAAGGTCGGGTGTGGATTCCGGTCGCAGCAGCTTTCGGGAAAGCCTCGAGGCTGCTTGGCTGACTTTTGACTTGTTCCTTGCTGCCCTCCCTCTCCAATCTCCCTGAGGTTTCGTGCCCGTCGAATTCGCAAACCCTCCGACATCACTTAAGCACATCTTGGGACCACTCCAGCATTGCATCAACGAGGCAACATACGAGTTGTGGTTTCAGCCCGTGGCCAGTGCCCTCACTCCTCCCATACCCTTGTTTTCATTGCTTTTCCACACTAGCCCGCCAAACTTACGTTGAGCATACCGTGACAGTTCCGAAGCGTCTCTGAGCATGAGAAACGTATCCATTCGGGATGTTGTTGCTGCCCGTGCTGCATGTATAGGAGAACCCGGCACCCGCTGTGAGGAGCGGCGCATGAGTCGATCCTATGACAGTCACATCGGCGCCGAGAAAGATGTTGTCTCGGTGCTCTGAGAGGTGGGGTGGCTTGATCGCTTATCAGGCTCCTGCATCCTTTGCTGTCGCTTCGCTGCCTGTATTGTTTCACTGCCGATGTTGGAGCCCTTCTCCGCGCTTTGTCGCCATTTGTGCGTTTGAAGAAGAAGAATTGAAAACGGCAGTCCCGCTTTATTCTTAATGCCAAAATGCCGCAGCTTGTCGGTCTCACCTCGTCCAACTCTGCTAGAAGTGGACAGAAAAAGCCAGTGCCTAGAAAGCACCGAGCCTGAAGTGCGACAGACTATATGGCCCGTCCACCTGACGACTAGTATCCAGTGACTGTCATATATGCATCTGCTTGCATGTGTGGAGCGCTCTGTCGCTGTGGCCACAGCTTGACCACGGTCTCCATTGTGGCTTCAATTTGGTGATCTGTAGGCAGGCTTGACAATCCTTCATTGTGTTGCCAGTGCCATTACCGTACCGGTGTGCCGCTATTGAAGCCACTCAGTGCTGCGAAAGATTCACAAAGTCACCGCAATGTCGATGGCATTTGACATCGAAGGTTCTGGCCAAATCGATGCGGCATGTTGCATTTACTGCTGACGTGAAGGGAGAACAGATACAACATGTATGTGCGCGATCTCACGTTGCTAGCCGCGCTTTGCTCACAATATGCTAACTGCTAACAGCTGGTAGCCTCATCCCTCTTTGCAAATGGACTTTCTTTCTCGTCTGCTTCCCGCAACATACCTAAGCCGAGACCTGTGTAGGACCACTCTGAGATGAGACAACTCCAGAACCACTGATGGGCCTCTCCAAGATATCTCGAGGACTTTGGGAGGGCCAGCCACGGGCCTGCTTGAAGACCAATCCAAACTGAACACTTGCACGCGCACACACACACACACACACATCGAGTTTCCAGCCAGGAAAACATTACCATAATTCTGTTGTATTGCAAACGTTGGAGACATGAATTGGACTATTGGTGTTTCCACGCTAAGCAAGCTGGCATTCCTGTCCTTACACACATGCCCGATGCCTATCTAATTCTCAGACCATTGGTTGAGGGACATGGTATGTGGTTGTGAAAAACATGAAGGTCTTTCACGACAACACTACACTTGTACATGCTTCTCGACTCCTCAGCGTTTCACGAAGGTCGTTTGCGGCGCAGGCTTTACATGTCCTTCGTCAAGTGGTCCAGCTTGGTCCAGGTCTTGCTGTCGAGAGACGAGGTACATGCGACAGTTCGAGAAGTTTCAGCTGGCGGATCTAGACAGCTATTTCGAGGAGGCGTACGTGCGAGCCCTAGCAGTGGTAGATCAAGGTGCCGCAGCATGGTACGGCAATGACACGGGCTTCCATAGAGCACCAGGTCCGTGTGTGTAGTCTTTCTCCTTTTCCTTTGGGAGCAATCGCACCGAGGAGTTTTCAGTCTCCGGCACACGCTGACAGCAATATGACTGCTGAGATGTGCTGCCCCTTTCAGTTTAAGGCCTGGTACTTCATCCACGTGGATGCAGAGGAGAGCCAAATCAAGGGCGACTCAACAGCAACAGCAGCAACATGCAAGCCGATGCAAGCTTGGCAGGACCTTCGAAACCGCTGGTCCACGGTCCGGCCGCGTGTGCTCGCCTTATCAGAGCAGTTTGGCTCTTGGCGGAGCATGGTTGCTGCGCTCGAAACACTCACACCACGGCCGTAGGCATGGCCAAGTCTGATGGAACTCAGCGACCTTCGTCTTGTTTCTCCGGCTCTGTCACTCACTGCGAAGCTGGTTTCTCCACGGAAGCCCCTAAAGTTTCTCTGTTCTTGCACTTGCCAGAGCCTGAAAGGTGGCAAATATCCTTCGGGCCGCGAAGAAGGTGCAGAGTGGGCCACCGCGACCTTCGTAGTTAGGGACCATCAGCCTGAACTGTCCCCATGGTTTCTGTGACTTCTCAGCAGGTCTCTCGATTGCCCACGATCTCGACTTGGGAGATCAGGAGGCGCGACCGGAGGTTCGTGGCGTGCGTCTTCACCGGTGCGCAGTTGGAGTGCTGTGGTTGCTTCAAAAAATACTCTAATTTCGCCGCCGCCGTCCTCAGTTCAGCCTTCGGTCTTCTCCACAGCACGTGCAGTCCCCATCTGCATTTTCTCACTGGTCGGCTCGCACGGGTACTCGATCGCGTTCGCCATCTGTTGTTGGTTGCCGAATGGGCATGTAACCCCGTTCTGTTCGGATGTCAGGATCGACGAGTGCCTGGAGAAGGACATCTGGTACTTGAGGTGCCAGTTCCATGCTGTCCGTGCATCAGACTCGAAGTATCAAGCTGATGTATGCATGTCAACTACTCATCGAACCAACACCCAGATATCATTTATGTCTTGGTCCGCCCTGGCCCAGACTCCTTGCAAAGCTACTTCGAGGCGCCGAGGCACCTTCCCTGGGCTCGATGCAGGTTTAAGAGACCATTGGACCATGCTTCTGGGGCGTGTGGACCGGCAATGCTTCGCTTGGCAGTAAGCTCTGCAGACTGCAGAAGTGCTCGTAGTCGCTGTTCGCCTGGTCCGTCGTTGACAGCAGAGAGTGAGAGGCCCGATGAGGCACAGGGCTCGTTGCATGGAGAGAGACAGCTCTTCTGCACTGCCGGGCACTGCCTTTTGGTTCCCAGCGCCAGCTGGGTGGTGGGGTGTCCGAGGGGTGACCCATCGGGTGCGTCCCGCCTTCCGCAGCTTGGCAGCAGGAAGATGCGGTACTCGTGCGTGCCGAGCTCAAAACACTTCGGACTGAGAAGCGGCAAAACCCAGCCTAACCCTTTCTTCGTAGCTTGAGCAGAAGTCGCCACGTATTTGACATTGCAACGCCAGAGACGCCACCTTTCCCGGCTAGCGGTAGCGGGGATACAAATGGCCAGATTTCCGAGGCTGGCTCTCAGCTGTGCTAGAGTTGAGCCTCTCTTAAGTCAGGCGCGATGCTACGAGCCATCTTTTCCACCGGGCTGGCAATTGCAGCCGCGACGGGCCCGGCCGTCTCTTGCTGGCACTGGCTGAAGGTGTCTAAACGGGCTCGCACAGGCCCCGCCGCCTCCGGTGCCTCCCGTGCCTCCGCCTCCGTTCTCGCTAGGAAGTCCAAAGCGGCACGAAGCTGTCGCAGAAGCTGCTCGGATGGAATGTGTGCATAAGGAAAGGTTGCAGCTGATTGTCGAGAGCCCGGCAGCACTCCGCCGCGCACAGGTTTGACTATGGAGTGTTTGACCAGATCACTGCGCAGCTCGATCCTGAGAAGCTAGAGGAGAACATGCTGCAGGCCGGAATCGGTGCAGCACTGACCCTAACCCGGACCGCAGGCGGAGATACTGTACTAATGCAAGACGTCGTGTCTTCGGGCCTTCGCCCGGCGCGTCTGAAAGGCAATGACTACAAACAGCTCAGCCAGAGAGAACACCATCAAAAAGATGATGGGCAAACTCCAGGCCTTTGCCAAGGACTGGGAGTGTGGAGCTTCAGGAGCACTGACTCATAAGGAATGTAACCTTGAAGGTAGTTCGACTAGCTGGCGACTAGCTGTCTAGGGAGGAATCGTCCTGAGGGCGCCTTGCTCGAGCGTTCACTTTGTCGCTGATTGCGAGCTTGATGCAGTCCTGAGTCCTGATTACCTCGTGACAGCACTGAACTGCCGGGCCCTGAAGCCTCCGACAGGATGAGCAGACCTGGGAGCAACAGGCCTGGCAAACTGAGAAGCCTTTGTGCGCACCCAAGCACATGTCGAGAATCTGCCTACAAGACGAAACGAAGTCAAGCCGAGCATGTAACGGATGCGGCAAAAAAACCGTGGGTTTTGTCTGATTTCGGGGTGCCCGGCCCGGCCCGGGGCCGGAGCTTCGGGCTTCGCGGGCTTCGCGGGCTTCGCGGGCTTCGGATCAAGCGCAAAGCCTTGGGAGCACCCGAGCCGCCCAAGAGCCAGATGCAGGCGATTGATGCATTCCACGGCAAATTGTGGCTTGGGCGCAGACAAGACGGTTGAGCGTAGTTTCGGATTCTGCATTTGCTATGGGCCTGAGCTAACTAACAGGGCGGCGACCTGTGGTTTGACTTAAACGACGACGTGTCTTGTTTCGGTGCGGCTTTCCCAGTGCAATGTTGGCCTCTGAAGTGCCAGTCCAGTGTAGCTTTTTGCAAGCTGAAACTCCTGAGAGCCGATTCCATGGCATTCGCGATGGCAGTTGCAGTGTTGCAAGTCTGACTTCACTGCCAGATGCGCTCGCACAGCCACGGCACCCGACCGAACGCCATACTTTCAACAGTTGAAGGACCTTAGTGGGCCCAGTCATCTTTAACAGTGTCCCTCAACCACTATGTCGCTATGCCAGTGTAGACCACAAACGGTGAAAGACCACATTGTCCCGAGACCACTCCAGGACAGAGTAGAATGCCACCACACCCACACAGACGAGCCGGACACGCCGAACAGGATGGCCCTCCCACTGCCACTGCCAAGACTTTCCTTGCAGACCTCCAATATTGAAGGCAAGAATGGAAGATCAAACGCCCGACCCACAGACTCCAACGGGACAGCACTTTATAGTATATAGGCTTCCAGCGGTGTGAGGACGAACCTGGCGGCAAAGTCTTGGATTTCAAGTGCAGGCTGTTTGATCAATGTCTTTGGGGCCGAAACGCATTGTCATACACACGTGCAGCGCTTTACATGCTTCAGGCTACAGTTTGCGACAGCTCTTCTGCGGTGTGCGGTCTGCACCGAGGAGCGAATCCTGCGACAAGCTCGTGGAGGCGGCGGGAGAGGCAACCGTGAAACTGCAGAAGGACGTTCAGGACGCCTCGGGGACGCCAGGGACACCTCGGCCAACCCCTCCCCTCAGCTTCTTCTAGTCATGCCAAACGATTTAGCCGGACCTTGTCCCCTGAGGCAAGAACCCATGGCAGAGTCTGTTTTTTCGGGATGTGTCTACCATCGCTGGCACAAACCTAGAATAGCATGGCAACGGCAGTGTATGTGCCGAGAACTTCCGAATGGGTGCAGTCGACACCGATAGTGAGCTGGAATGCTCAGGAGCAGCGAATCGCTCCGTTCGAGGAAGATGAGGGCTGCGTTGGCCAGCTCAGCGAAGCCATCAAGCACCTGAGCCAAAAGAAGGGCTTTGACTCAACCCTGCGCTTTCGCCATCGTAAGGAAAGAGATGCAAAAGAAGCTGGGAGATGAGCATGGCATCTTGGCCTCTGAACTTCCAGGACAGAGAAGTTAAGGGCACAGGGCACACCGAGCAGAACTCCGAGGCTTCCACGGCCTAGGTGCCGCGGTGGCCTACGCTGCGCAGCTGCACATCATAGCTGCGTCAATGCCATTCAATGCAGCTTAGGGGGTGCACCAGTCAACCCGGGCACTCATAGAGAGCGGCCAACCACATCGGCACACACATCCTGCCCGTTAGTTTCCAGGTGTCCATGATGGGTGCGAACTACGGCTGTGAATCCGAGGCCTCGGACGTAGGGAAAGGCTTTGGCGTTTGGGATGTTTGGGCCGTTGGGCCTCGTGTGGGCCTGTCATGGTTCAGGCTTCAGTACCTTGGGTTTCTCTCAGATCCGGCCAGGCAGGAATTCGCGGTCTGGATCTGGAGGATGAAGCCGCAAGGCTTTGTGGAAAGGCGCACAGCGCCGTCCTGTGTAGAAAATGTATCAAATCTTGCTTCGACCGTGTTTTCCTGGTCTGACGAATCCTTCCAGGCCGTGTTCGAGAGGCAAGAGAAAGAGGCAGAAAAGGCGGCCAAGGCGGCAGCAAAGGAGGCCGCCAAGATGGCGGCAAAGAAAAAAGCAGAGAAGGAAAAGGCGGAAGTTGAATCCGCCTCAACAGACGATGCCTCGAAGGCTCGGCAGACGGTTGGGTAGGGGGTAGTAGGAGGTGGGTCCGGCGGGTCAGGACTCAGTGTGTCTTTCGCAGAAGATGAGAAAGTGGGTTGCAGAGGGATGAGAAAGGCTTGAATACAGTATAATCTTTGCATGTCGCTGGGACTCAGCAGAACCGTTCCACATCCAGCCTGCTTGAGCACAATGCCACCAACAACGGAGGCAACGCTCGAATCTAACGCAGCTCAACCCTTTGCTCCCCCGGGTATGGACGTTCGATTGCTGCAGCGAAGGCAGCACCATCCATGCACGCAGTGCACGCAGTGCACGCAGTGCGCTCACTCACCTGCCATGGCTTTCAATCGAAGCGTGTCCGAGTTCTGTGGCGTCCGCCTGGCCAGGCCTTTGAGCTCAAGAGCCTGAGAAGGGCAAATATGTTCCTCCGCCTCAGATCCAAAGATAGCTCTTTCAAGTTCTAGATTCTAGCATTCTAGCTGGTAGATGCTTTCATGGATTTTTTTGGGGGCTCGATCGAACCCGTCCCAGCAATTCGCGGTGCTTTGTCTCTGCTGCTCACCAAACAATCGAAGTTGTTTTTAGGCCCTCGTTGCCACAGAATGCGCTGTCTGGTATGGCAGGATGGTAGCGGGTTTAGCGGAGTACACACGACCAGGCTTACGTGTCTTGTGCAATGGTTCCTGCAGCCCAGGCAGCGTGGCGTCTCCACACCCGTGCTCTTTGCCGCCCTGTTGGCTGCATCCCTCGCTGCTGTGTCGGCTGTCTTGGCGGCTCGAAGCAAGTTTACAGAGCGTGAATGAACGGCTCATGCAAGGATAAGCCCCCAAAAGGTCAAGTAATAAATCCACGAAGTAGACCGGCTGGTTCGTTGTCACGGCATCGTAGATGAATGGAAATCGATGACGTCATGCAACTCAGGAAGTCATTAAGTGGCCAGACATAGTAGAAAGAACATCGCGGACTTTCATGACGACATGCCTTAAATTGGGTGCACCATGTTCCATTCCAGAAGCAGCTCAGGCAGTGGTTAGCATGCGGCGAACACGCGAGCTGCTGCTCATTCGCGCCTTGGCGAAGTCTCGAATTCTATTCGCTGAAGCTGGGAGACCAGCTGGGAACTGTGATCCAAGGCCTTACTGTAGTTCATTGGTGATTAAGCAGATCGCGTCATGGTTCACAGCTCGTGTCAGATTTGTCACGTGGTAACCTTGGGCGCTGCTAGGCTACATTAATATGATCAGTCTACTTTCAGCCCGCCGTGGGCGCAGCATGTCCAGCCGTGCCATCCTGTACTGGATAGGTGCCACAGAAGATGAATACCCAGTTTCCGACTGAGAAGTGGCTGTCAAAGATGTCTTCACATCTTGTCCAGTCTTTCGTTGACTCCACTGACGTAGCGCTTCCAATGTGCGATCGCTGCGCTCCAGAATTGTCTGTCTGTCTGCACGCATCGAGCAGGCTGTAGTTAATATGCTATCGCAAGCGATGCAGGCAGACAGACGAGCTTGTTTTCACTGGAGACGGTTGCACGCCTCGCCGCAGTTTAACGTCTTTTTTGGCCCTTGCCCTCACCTGCTATCTTGGACAGCGCGATGTCAATAACGCGGTGGGCCGACGTGGGTGCAGTATAGCAGAGCGAGTAATGGAAAACCGATCCAACGAAGTCGGGGAAGCCTTCCTAGGACGCGCAAGGCCCCAAAAACCACACAGACAGAAGGATCCGATAGGCAAGGTTTTTCAATATTTCCCCTTGCTGGTGTCGGTATACCGCCAAACACAGGGATCCTTATGTTAATGTGGTCTTTGGGTGCCTCACACCCATGCTGCCTGCCTCGAATTAGCAGCTGGCCACCCTGGCACAAATGCCCGCAGTGTCCAGACAGCAGTACCAGATGTGCTTTTGCCAAAATTGGTTGTGTTGCTGCGTCACCCGATGACAGATGGTAACTTATTCGGCCTCTGCAGCATTGTGATGCAAATGACATCGAAGACACCCATGACCAGTCCACGCAGCTCCTCGAAAGGCTCTCGGCTCTTCAACAAGTGCCTGAAGGACCGGCACCGTTCAGCCTGCAGGATTTGTACTAGCATCTCCATCTGGCCCTGTGGAATCTGTGGAACCATGACGGCTGGGCAATGAGCTTCAGGAACGCTAGAGGTTCGAGATGTAGGCACCATAAGGCGGCATCGCTGTGAGATCGGGAGCTGGTGCATCCTGGATTGTCGAAGGCTCTCTCCACACGTAGGGAACCTGGGGGCTTTCAGTCACCGGTAGTCCAACCCAGTCATATGGAGTCAATACGGAGCCACCGCGGTTGGTGATGCCTGGATCGGTTGGATATCAGCGAGGCGGATTGTCGTGTCTGGGCAAAGGGGCTTCTGAGCGTGAATGTTGATCGGATTCAGGGTAACCGCTTCCAAGCGTCTGAGAAATCGCTGCGCCCGGAAGGTCTCGGCTCGGTGCACGGACTTGAATTGCTGTGCACTCACCCTCTCAGGAGTCTTCCGAGGCGAGATGCTTGATGCTGACGGATTGCTTACAAAAAGCTGGTGGTCAGCCTTGAAGATAGTGCCGTGAGAATGGTGCATGGATCAGGGTTGTGTCGGTGGCAGCTGCTAGACTGAGCCGGGGCTACAGAAGTGGAGACGAGGATAAGGCTTCTCATCTCAAACTATAAATAGCCTTGTCCGGCCTTACGGGATCGCAGTCAGACCGCTGCAACGACGATTCTTGGATGCCGTGCTCTTTGGCCTGCATCCGCTCCTGCCCTCCGCGGCCTTGTGTGGCCCAGTTATTTGTCAGCAGTACCGTGCGTAGACCACAGATTCCAAGAAACCAAGCTGAACACGAAGCAATCCAAACCAACACAGGCAGCCCATCACCATCTAGTTGAACCAGGTAGCATAGCTCTTTCGAGCAAGCGGATCCTGGCGATGATGTTCCGTGTCCTGTTCGGTAACTTTCAGCCATCTCCTGGCAACATGCTACAGGAGTCAGTGATGAGTGAAACCCGATGAAACGGACATGTAGAATGTAGAGACCTCTTAGAGACTTCTGTGACCGATGGCGTATCGGCCTGGTCGCGGATTGGATAAGGAGGCTGAAGACAGACCGGAAGTGCACTCTGGCTGACCGAAATCCCCAAGCTCTGCGCCCCAGGCGGTGAAGCGTCTGCGTGAGCGCCGCGAGGTTCGCAATCCATGCTTGCCACGTGCTAAAAAGACTGCTTTCGACTGCCACCATGGCCAGAGCAAGTAGGCCCAGGCTCCCTGAAGGAGATTCGGAGTGAGTAGAGCCTTCAAATAAATCCTTTAACTCCAGCGGTCTACCGCCAGGCTGATGCCCTGGGCTTGCCTTCCGAAGACCTTTCTGAGCAGGCAATGGGAAACAAGTACGATGTGATATACATATGCCATGTGTAGAGTTTGGCAGGCTTGGGTGCACATGTATCATCTGCGATCGATATCATGCCTTTTGGTTCAAGCCTGGCAGTTGAGCCAAAAAGGCAGGATTTTGTTGCCATTAGCTTGCGGAGGTGTCCCGCCTACTATGGCAGATGCATTTGATCAGGAGTCTCCTGAGTTCTTCGCCTATGTGTTCAGCCGCTTCGCTGTACACACTGAGGCCCAGGTGTTGCCGGTGCGCCCAGAGCCGGGGATGCCATTTGTGGGTACATTCACACATGCAGCCGCCGTTGTCCGTCCAGGGAGAGACCCGGCTCAAGCGTGGAGTGATTACCATGCGGGCCGCTCGTACTTGTCGGCTGGCGACGTCACGGCCCTCCACTCCGGACTCTGGCCTACGGATCTGCTGCCGAAACACCTTCATGCGCTTCTGGCAAGGGTGGCGGAGCAGACCCGCCACCTCGGCCGAGCTTTGGGTTATTTTTCGGCGGTGGCAAGCCGGGAGCCGGGTCTGGATCGAGCCTGGTCACGGGGTGCCGAAGCATTTCCCGCAGTCGCGGGTTCTACAGATTGTGATGGTACCAGCGGCGCGAAAAAGAACAGAGTGTTGTAGTAGCCTCTGTGATTCGGTGTGCGGATGTATATGTATATATATGTATGTACATATATGTAACATGTACATATTTGCATGTATGCATGCATGTGTGTGTATACGTATTTCTGTCTGTAGCTCTGTCTGTCTGTCCGTCTGTCCGTCTGTATGTAGGCTGGTTCAGAAGAAGACTGGTTGTCAAGCTGTGTGAAGTTGCGACGGAGCAGTACATGCAGGGTGAGAACCGCACCACCCGGCAGATCGCGGCTAACCTCTCCTCCTTAGGTGGAGACGTATGGGCCACCCAGTTCCTGATGTCATGGCGCTTGCGCTTGTGCAAATGGATGCGTGCCTGGCCCAAACCTTGGAACAAGATGTGGCGACCGTGCTTGCGCACTTCAGGACAGACATCCCCCAACGACTTCGTCTGTTTGTCGAGCAGCGCAGCAGTGCTGTGGGTCGATCCGGAAATCCCGTTTTGCGAAAAGTAGAACAACGCCTACAACTGCAGCTAAGCAGGTGCCTCGCGCCTCGACAGCCTCTCGCGATGCTCTGCAGTTCACAGAATCTGCGATAGTGTCTTTTACAGCGACTGCTTGTGGCTTATTTGGCACCTACTGCCCGCCCCGGAAAGATTCGAGTTCATGCAGTGGTGCCAAAGGATGCCAAAGGGAATATTGGTTCCCGAGCACTCCGAAAAGCCGAATGTGGAAGAGCTGGCCAGAGACCCACCTGTGATTGGGATGTGTCCTTCACCGGATGATTCGGCTTGAATTCTTTGTCTCGAATTCTGGGGCAAGGGATGACGAATGCATCACTAAATATCTACGACATCCTTTTGCCGGTCACGACATCGCAGATGAGCTTGCGTAATTTACATGCATTACATGATTCCGCGATGACATCCTCCGTGATGTGGGCAGCCCGTGGCTGAGAGTGGGCAGCCCGTGGACGAGAGGCAACTCACTATGCTGCCTCCATGCGTTATTTCTTCGAGGCGATCTTCAGTTGTTATTTGGTGGCGATCCTTTCTCCAGACGTTAGATATGGTAACCAATTATGGAAGCCAGAAAGTTGGAACATGGCTTTAGGAGGATTAGTGCTAGGATCCCTCATACTTTACCCTAACGGCATGAGGACAATGATGTTCCAACTTTTTGGCTTCTACTATAAGAGTAATTGGATAGGCCATGGGCCTTGTATTGCGGTCATTTTGCTAATCATACCGTGTATTGCCTGTATGTTTTACAGCATGAAAACCAAAGCCTCCGCTTCCATGCGTTCGGAAAACTTGTACGCAGCGCACATAGACATGCTGGCCATGTCCTACTGCTTCAACAGCGATTCGTGAACCCTAAAAAAAATTTCGAGCATATTGAAAACCGCAATAATTTCGAGTATAAGCAGGGAACAGCAGGGAACTTTTCGAAGTTTGGAAGCATGGGAGTTTATCATGTGGTTTCGAATCCTGCACAGATGGTGCAAAACCCGAACGGAGGCACATGATTGGATATGCTATGATGGGCTTAGCAGTGGGTGCCATATGTGCTTGTGTGCGTACATGTCAGTGGTTGTCAGAGTACATATAACGGGTGTGTAACATATAAGGTCGCATCGTGCTGTCTGTGTTCACCGGAATTCTATATTTTTCAAGGTCCACTCTTTTTCAGCAGTAGCTGAGAAGCACGCTGAACCCACAGCAGCATCCGGAAAAGGGAAGCCATGATGTTTCAGCGAAGCTGCATGGCGACAAGGTTCTGCAGCCCCCGTGTCCTATACCATCGTTAGATACCTACATTGTCGGCAGACATGGCGACATGTGTCAGGCAAACCTGTTGCTGGGCAATGGTGCAAGAAAGGCCACGTCTGCTCTGGACTCCTGTTGTGTTCCGTGAGCGTGTCGAAACCTCTAAGTTGAAATCGTCATCCAACCTCGTTGAAGGTGGCGAGATGCGGCGAGTGTTCGCGACCGCTGGAGACGGAAGTGGCAGCTTCGTTTGCAGAGTCAGTTGGTTTTGCTGTAAGCGCCCGCACGTATTCTAATCAAAAAGTCCGACGTCAGGTTCCGTTGCTGAAGCTCCGCCGCCACAGTTCGCTTACGATGTCTGACATGGACGTTGTTTTCTCGTGCAGTCCAATGCTCCTGTATCCGATATCACCCACATGTAATTTAATCGGTGTCCAGAACAGGGCGAAGACAGCAAGCGTGCACGCCGGTTCAAACAAGCACTGAACTGAGTACCCCGTATTCGCTCCCAGATTGCTTCTGGCCGGCAGCGCTGCGTGCGCTGTGCGGGGCCTGTAGCGCCGACGAAGCTGGAAGCAGCAGGAGGACCGGAAGTTCACTAACATCTCCAGGCGATGTCAGCGCTGCGGTTTGGCTCTGGCAAGCCTTGGGTCTAGGCTTTCGCAGGCGAGTATGGCGAGGATCCCAAGGGCCCGTGGCAAATCTGTTTTCCGCTGCCAGGAAGCCCTTCGGAAGGCTCCGAAAGCTCTGAGAGTGCCTCGTCGAATTCTTAGCTTCCAAATCTGATGTAGTGCAGGTTCAGCGAGAGAGTCAGTTGACGCACGCGGTGTGCCAGTGTGCTTGAGAATTCGAGGTCGGAGGAAGACTCAGACACTGCGGTGCCCACGAAGAAGGCGCAGCTGCCACAGACGCATGGTGAATGCTTGTTGGTTGGTTGAAGCTGTAATTACACTTGATAAACGTGTAAACGTGAGAACATCGTTCCAAGCGCTGGAATTTCAAATTCAAGTTCCATCACTGCGAGCCGGAGGCTCTACTTCTGCCGAGGAAGGAGGATCCGGCAGAACCGAAGACAGGCTGGGCGTGCCTGTGCCGCGCTTGGAATGCAAAGAAGCTGACGCCCCTTGATTTTGGATTGCGTTGGGAACTGCATATTTCCAGTCTCTGCTGCGGCTTCTCCTAGGATGTTACGGCCTTCAATCCCGCAGCCTCAACAGGGGTTAGGGGCCTCCCATTGATGTGAAGAACGAGGTCCAGCCCTCCATCGATGAAAACCAGCAACTCCTCCGCCTCCAAGCGGCCCATCCCGGCCCATCTGCAGCTCCCAAGAAGCCGGAGCTGAAGAAGCGAAAGTCCTTCGAGGCGCCTGCCCGCGCTGCTGGCCAATACGTCAATACGTGTCCTCTCAGTCATGTACAGGGAATGAGCTTCGAACCGTGAGCATTGCTAAATGTCTATCCGCCTGAAGAGCTCGAAGCTAAGTTGCAGGAGAAGGAGGCTGAAGCCGCGGACAGGTTCAAGGCCTGCGGGTCCATCGGTTGAAGGGCGACTTGCCACACCGTCGGCCAGCCAGCCCAACATCAACTCTTCTGTAGACTTTTCGGAGTAGAGCATGTCCCTCGATACCACTTTGTCAGCAACTGCCTCTCCAACGGCCTTCGGAACAGTACAGTTTTCTTCGAGGTCTACTAATTGAGGACTGGGAGGCTCGCGGCTGCAGGATTCCTCCGGGCAGGAGTCGCAACAGGCTTTTTGTATAGTATCCCGAAGTTTGCAAACTGCTTCGAAATTTATCTAAGCAGGCCTAGTAGACTCTTGACTTTGGCTGACGATGTTCTTATCTGCAGGCAGCTGGCAGCGGAAAATCACATTAGACGCGCATGTTATGCATGTGCATTTTGTTTTACCCGCTGCATGGTGTCCATGTGTCAGCATATGCGCCTCGCACAGCTTTGTATGTTTTTAAATCTTCTCGGGGGCGACGCACGGTGATGCTAGCTTTTGAAATGCCCTTTCCCTTCCAGGCCAAGCTCGCGAAGTTCCAGCAGGACCAGGCAAGGCGGAGCGAGGGCAAAGGCGAGTGGACCGAGGCTTCGACACCCGGTGCAGCCCTGTGTTAGGAAAGAAGACGCATCCAGGACGTCAGGGACGAGGGGGTTAAGCTCAATCTGCAAGACTGTCTGGTTTGCTGTGCTTCGTTCAACATTCAATGCAAAGCTGTTCTGCAGAGCTCTGGACGCTCGTCGTCGACATTCAGGGCAGTCATGCATGGCATTGCAGGTATTGGGCCTCCAGATCTGTGCCAGCTTAATGCTTGCACCGTCACTGCAGCAGGAAGAAGTGTCCAAAATGAAAAAGCGTGTCAAGGACAGACCGCATCAAGATGCTCTGCCTTTTTTGGCTTCCCTGCTCCCTGCCCACCCGCCTGTCTTCCTCTGACGGTGGAAACTTCGAAGACTTGCAGCACATGAAAGCAGCACTCGACGCAGGACAAGAAGAAAAAGAAAAAGGAGAAGAAAAAGGACAAGCTGAAAGGTCGGGTGACTGCTGGGAGGTCTTAGTTGTGCAACACAGTTGAACCGGAAAGTTGACCATTTCTATCTGTATCAAGCAAGTAGTTGCGGGGCGCATTTCAGGAAGTCGACCCAATCAGCGTGTAGTTGGGGGAAAGCATGCCCAAAATACTCATGTTGCAAGAAGCAACTGCATTTGCAAGGCAATGCGCTTGTTCATGTCCAACTTGGACTGAAGCGGATTTATCACAGTCAAAGGGTTGCCGGGAAGCATTCCTGGTGCAGGCAAGAAGAAGAGCAAGAAAGACTTGTGCGAGTCAGATGAGTGAGAGTCTTGCCAGCTTCTTTGCCGGGCCGCAGCAGCTGAAGCCCATTGCGGCAGTTGCAGTTGTCGGACAGTGTCACCAGAGCAAGGTTTGGGGCTGGAGCATCTTATTCTTGCAACTGGGCTTCACGGCAAGTAACGAGCTTCTTAGTCTCTCAATCAGGTCAGGACGGCTGTCAGACGAAGCATGCACGGAGACCAGGATTGCCAGGGTGTTGAAACTGTAGTTGCTGCTAATTCGGGGAGCTGCTCGAACTTTCTGGTGAAAGGCGACTGCATTCAGAAAGAGCTTTCGGCCGTCTGCCGCTCTGTCCAACGGTTTCCGTCGACTATGGGCAAGCAGACCGACGGTTCACACAGACATGATTTTACAGTGGCATACCATGCCCATAATTGCCTGCAGCGATTGCTACGGTCAAGCGACATAGTCACATCCCACGCAGTAGACAGATGCTTGCCGCTACAGCTTTCCACGATTATCAGCCGAAACATGGGCCTTAGACATGTCAGCCTCGAAGCTTCGCAGCCAACTATCGGAACATGACGGGTGTCACAAAGGCATAGTGACATAGTGGCAGGTATTATGCACAGAGGCAAGGCATGTGCACAACTCGGCTACTTCGCTGACAGTGCGAGCCATGGACATGAACCAGGTCAGTTGCAGACAAGTTGCATCCACGAGTCCTTGTACTGCTGTCCCCTTGTAAAAGTGTGGGCCGGTTCAGGTGACACCTTGCTTGGGTGATGTCCCTGTCATGCAGGAAGCGAAGACTGGGCTGCAACATGCGTGCAAGATGCGTGCAACTCTTGACTGCAGTCTTCAGCTCGAGGCTCCGAGTTCTGCAGCTCTTTGCTCTTCTCGAGCTCGGCACCGTGACGTGTGCAGCCCAGTTGCGAAGTCGACTCATGCTCGGCGGGTACGCGGCGACGAAAAAGACATCGAAAAATGAAGGAGGAAGGAACCGCCACGTGTTGGAACCGCAACAGCGTGTCGCACTGGTTAGGGCAAGACTGTCTGGGACATGCGGCTGTCGACGAGCGGCGGCCTGACCAAACGTTATCGTGGTCGATGCTCACGTTTGCAAGCCCCATACGTGCCAAGGGTGCTTTTTCCAGTTCAGGCGGTTTCATTGGCATAGTGCGAGCTCACGGCACATACGAGGCCTCATGCCAAGAGCCCACAATGAACAGTAAGCACGCTGTGGAACGGTTGGTGACATGCTCGCCGACGCAATCATCAAGGCTCGCATGACATGATCCGAAATCGGAAGGAAGCTTTGCAAAGCGCCGTAACCGCATGCAGCGACTGGACAAAATCAAACTTGGCTCGACATGAAACTGCAAAAGAGCTTCCAAAAGCGCACTGAGTACTTTACGACAGGATCTCTGTCTCAAAGTTGCTTTCAAGGACCGTCGCGGTGCACTGAGATGCAGCACAAGCGGCTGTACATCTCCTTGTCCTGCAGGACACCTACCGGTTTCACCAGGGTGTTTCGTTTGCCGTGCGCATGTTTGGCTCAACCTGGGCTGTGAGTATACTGCTGTCCAAGCGGCTGGCATACGCCAGACGATGGCGAAACAATTGCGTGTGACTCTCTTCCATGCCATGGCCGCCACGGCCATCGTCCCTGTGGCAACGTGCCAACATTGAAATTGTGCACCTTAATCTTTGAGCCACTCTGGATGCTCCGGTCAATCGTGATGATGCATCTGGGGTGTTTGTCGTCATCTGCCTGTTGGTCTACGGGCGGCGTTGCGGTCAGATGGTTCCGGGCCTGCAGAATCTGACCGCTTCCTTGGCTTGGCGATGCGATGTTTGCTTGGTGGGCGACTGCTGCAGCATCTCTGCTAGCCTTGCGAGAAAGTTACTTCTTGTGGTGGTGCAAACCATTCTGTCGACATGTGGCAGAAGCATGCGACGAGGCGCTTGGGACGGACATGGACGGACCGTTGCGCAGCCATTCCGGGTACGTCGCCGGTTTGCGGTGCGCAGCCATGGCGAGAGGCTAGAGCGTGTCAAAGCACCGCCCCATCTTCATCCACTGAGCGCACTGCCCGTGACACGGGAGAGACCAACATCGCGTCGCAACCTGGACCCTTCCCCAATGCCGTAGATGACAATATCGAGTCGGCGGAGGTCAGAGTGCGCTAAGCCACCGCAGCGGAACGACTCGCCCTTCGGGCCCGACGACGCATGCATGCTCCATGACCCTTGGCCCGTCGCGCCCGCAGCCCCGTGTTAAGAAGCCAAGCCCACTTATCGACGAGACTGTGCCGCTGAGTATGCTCGGGAGCATGGTCAGGCTGTTGAGGTCTCAACCTCGCCGCTGCTTCCCACAGCCGCTTCGGCAGCACACCTTCGGAGGGCTCTGCGTTCCACAGCTGCCGGATTTGCCGATGCGCGAGCCGCGTCGTGCAGGGATGCGTGGGGAACAAATTTCATGCCGGCGAGACGCACATTGAATGCAACCCGCGCCCCAGTTTCGCGGCCAACTCTCCGACAGCACGCAGCGAAGGCTCCGAACGTAGGGCAAGCGGCACGGTGGTTTCCGAAGGCATCGAGGTGCCCCGGCAGCTGCAAGTGCAGGGCGCGAGGCGGAGTGTTAAGCGAATGCTGCACAAGAGCAGCACGCGGAAGAGGCCATGGGGAATAATGACATCCGCAGGTGTCATCAGGTGTCGACATGAGACAGACGCAGCGGCTGGATGCGGCTGGCATCCGGAGCTCACCTGCGGAGGGCCTCAGAGGCTCGTTGTCATTGCTGAAGTCGGAGGCCGCTGGAGAGACGAGTGCCAGCAGTTCGCAGACTCGCAGTTGATGCATGGTGACACGCGGTCCGCTTCCTCCCGGTGTCCCTGAGCTGGGGGCGGAACTGGGCGGACATGTGGCACGGGGACAAACCATTAGGACAGCGTGGTGCAGCTCTATACACCGCCGCGGTCGCGGTGCAAGGGCGACTGCACCAGGCTGGTTACGACGCCTCCGACATGGGACGCCCCCAAGGCACGGGCCAGCGCTCGACGCACGATCAAAGGCAGGCAGCGACTCGCAGCATGAGCGTGTGATGAGCGCGCATTCAAAACGCAACTGCGTGAACTCTCTCCGGCTTCCCGGGTGTTGCTGCTTCGCGAGCAGGACCCCTCACCGCACGAGCCTTCAATGTCCCCGCCCCCCCACCAAGACGTCACGATCCCCGCGCCCAGTTTCGGGATCAGGTCTGCATGCTCCGGCTGCAGCGCTTGCGCATGCCCCTGCCTCGTGCCTGCGTAGATGCGCCTTCCATGAGCAGCTCGACTCCCTGGGCGACCATCGTGCCGCCCGTGCCACCTCCAGGGCTAGTACTGTTGATGCACGCCTTGCCTCTCGAGCATGCTGTCTTGCGTGTTTGCCGGGAAGCTGGCGCACGGGTCGCCCATGACGTCCGGGTAGCCGATATGATCGATATGAACCTCGACGTGCCAATCGTTTATGCACAGCGCATCGGGCGGCCCGGCGCAACGCAACCCCTAACAGTCGCTAGTGAGCGCCACAGCACCCGACGTCCGATCCGCTGATCGGCGCCGCCTGGACCGTAACGGGGCGTGACCGGCGATCTTCGCCACGGCACGGGCATTGCGGTGGGCCATGCTGGCAGTTTCGGTACGACAGGCTGTCACGAGTACTGCCCTCGGCGTCAGGTTGGCCGGCGCCTCGTGATGCGATCCGACAGTCAGCGCAGCACCCCGTGCCCGACCTGATCGCGCCGCATGCCGCAGCGCGTGCATTCACAAGACATGCGGAACTCGAGTGTTGTCGGACGCACAATGACAGCCGGTGGCCTGCCATGGCCGCCTCCGGGCGCCTTTGCTCCACGCCCCGCAAAGCTGCCGATGTGGCGAGGCCCTTGATGTCCTGGATGAACCCACAGCCGGTGCGCTGGGCGCTGCGCAGCAGCCGCGAGAGTCTGCCGCGAAGCATGACCCCACCCACACCGCAACTAACGATTCGGGACCGATTTTTTTCGGACACAAAAGTTGGCAAGTGGGGTTGCATAGCGGTTCATAGAATAGTGTGTACATATCTTCCGTTTCACTTTGTAACTACTGACCGCAAGACGGTTGTTTCAGGACTCATGCTGCTGGGGGCGCTGACGACAGGTTTACAGGCTTGGTCCGTTTTAGTTTTCGCCACCGGTTGCGACCCCTACCTGACGGCCTACTCTTCAAGTTCGAGCATGTGTCCGTTGCTTGCTGCTGGTTGTGCGCAGGAAACCTAGGCAGGGCTTGCTATAGGTTGCTATTC